TCGGCGATCCTAAATTGGACATAATTGAGCCAACAATGGTTAATGCAAAACTCTCATCACCCGAACCTAATGCAAGAATAATACAAAAGGACACAAAACAAAAACCAAAAACACCAGTCTGATCATGGAACGAAACATAAAAAACAGCAAGAAAATAAACGCCCAAATAGATCTTCTTCAACCGCGGCCTCACGAGCACATCAGGCGGGTCTAGGAACTCAGACCCGCCTCCTCCCCATTGTTTGCTTTGTCAAGTGTCATCCCCTCTCCTGAATTGTCCTCCTGTGCCGGATCCTTCCAGACTCTCCTGCGCTTTTGGTCAACCGAGACCTCCCCTGCACTGCTTATGTCCTCTTCCTCTGTGCCACTATTTTCTAACTCAGTTGTACTCCCCTCGCGACCCGGCCTCATAATGCCTTCATCTTCTTGATAAAACCTCATCTACTTACTCGGACCCCCTATTTATCCACCAACCACTTACTTCCCCTTGTGGGACTAGTTTTTCCCTCTCCACCTGCTTTAAGATCAACACTAAACGTTTTTTTCCAGTGCAATATCATCCACATATTTCAATGCACAAATTTTTTTAGAGTTTCCCATTATTCCACCGATGAAACAAAAATTTGGTAATTTTTCATACTTGAAATTTACCCAGTGTCCTTCGCCCCCTTTTGTCAAAGTAGATCCCTTTTTCAGGGGTCTTCTCACATCCATCTTCACCCTAACTCTCAAGTATGAATTCCATTTTTTCTTAAAATGACTCTCATCAAAATTAATAAATTCCCCAATATAGTTACCCACTCTTCTAGCAGTGCCTACATGCATAAATTTATACGAAACATTGTGTATTGGCACCAAGAACTCTGCCTCAAACTAATTCATTTTATGTGTAATATCATTAGGGTCAACCGCCTTTAGTAATAACAACTTCCTCTCAAACAACAAAGGACCATCCTCCATCACATGTTTCATATCAACTATATGATAAAAAGTGAATAAATACCTCTTTTCATCAATTTCTTGAACTACCATTCCTTTACATGGCCTCCAGAGTGATGCAAATAGGTCTTGCACAGCCTGAATTTTGACTTTCCGATCTGTAAGGATGACACCCACCACCGGGAATTCCGCCTCTTTTGTGTTTGGGGCAAGAATCTCCTCCTCCTTCTCATCGTCAAAATTGAGATTGTTGTTATCTTTTTCCAAATCCATTCTTCTCTATTGCTCCATGACCTCTTCCATAGATTTTGAACAGAAGAAAACGCCTGCCAATTACTTCCCTGCAACCGAGCCCTGCGCTGGACTCAAAACTCGAACGAAACAAGAGCGAGATTGTTGCCCCTGAACTCGTTGAAAGCAACCAAGAAACACCGTCTGCACCCACCTCCGTTCCCGTCCCAACCTTGTTGCAAAGGCTGAGGTGGACGACGAATTGGGAAGAAAAAGCTACATTAGGCAGCTAAGGAGCCAAACCCTAGAGAGAGCATCTGTTATCAAATTAATCCATTAACATGATACTCCTATTTTGGAATTTCAAAACGTTTTTACTCCTATTTAGGACAATTTTTGTAAATAAAAACTTCCTTCGTCTCAATTTGATGGTCTCATTCTTTTGGACACAAATTTTAATAAGTGGTTGAAAGGGTAAAAGTTGTGGTTGAGATTTGAACATTAGTATGAAATTAATAAGCTTTGTTAGTTGAGGTTCAAGATATTTTCCATTGAGCATTAAACATCATTTATTGGATATTAGAAGCGTGTAATTGAGTACTTATTGAGCATTCGTAATTTATAAAATGAGCATTAGAATGAAAATCATAATTTTTTTAGTTGAGTGAACATCAAGACATTTGCATTGAGCATCAAACATTCTGTAATGACTAATGAGTATTAAAATAAAAAATAGAAAAACAGACATTAATAACTAAAATAATTTATAATTGAATAAAATTAAAGTATAAATTTTTTAAAGAAAAATAAAGAAACCTGTAAAAGCAAGAAAGGATGGAAAGAAAAGAACGAAAAAAACAAAAAAAAAACAAAAAAAACGTAAAAGAGAAGCAAACTAAAGAGACGAGCAGGGAAGCCAGGGAAAGGAAAGAAACAAAGAAAAGAAAAACAAAAAAAAACAAAAGTGATAGGCTTATAGTTATAGTTATAGCAGCGATAGAGACGGAGAGTTATGGCGAATCGGTGATGCAGGACAACGAAACAAACAAAGGCAACGGCAGAAAGAGTTGGGCCTGTCAATCTCCATCTCCATAGCATCTGAAGCCGGAAGTGAGGAAGACGTCCGCACCTGTGCACAAAATCAGAAATTAGGGATTAGAGATTTATTGAAAGGCTTAAAGTTGCTGAATATTACAAAAATACCCGGCTGTATCATGGACATGGTACAGCCGGCTGTACGGTAGTATTTGAAACTTGTCTAAATCGTGATGTAACATATAATACGTGCAAAGTACAATTTCCCAAATTGTGTAAATTTAAGTGGATGTAAAGGGATCCAAAACAATTGCCATAGTAGCAATTTCCATGTTATGAAATTTTGTTCAGGGTTATTAGACATGAAATGTTGGATTATGAAGGTAACACATGTAGTAAGCAAAGCTTAGCCAGGTCTATCTGATTATGAATTCGAGAGGAAAAAATCAGGGGACAAGTAGGTCAACCATTTTGCTCTTGAATTGAAGCAAATAGGTCATAGGGGATCTATAATTGTGTGTTTGTGAATGAGAAGGGAAAAGGGTGAGGGATGTGTGTGGTAGCGTGTTTTATGAGTGACTAAGTGAGTGTTTGACACAGCTTCTACTTAAAAAATGCACTTTTCGAGTGATTTTGGAAAAAGTGATTCATAGTAAAAGTTGATAGTGTTTGAGAAGAAAGTGATTTTGAAAAGTAAAAGTTGATAGTGTTTGATAAAATAAGTGTTTTTTGTGTAATAGAAAAAATAAAAGGCACTTTTCATATGAAAGTCGAGAAAAGTGAAAGTTGGTAGTGGGCTGAATATGAAAAAAATTAAAAAAATTACACTAAAAAAATTTAATTTTTTTTAACATGCCCAGGGCTTCAACTCACATTAGCCTATACATAGATCCTCCTTTGACAGATAATATGTTGTTGACATGAGACATAGATCTTCTCTTCTGTAGATACGTCTACTTATAAAAAGAAATTGGATGGGCCCTAACGACCTTTTGACAACCTCCTAATCCAGAATTTAGCATTCGTCTGACTATCTGTTCAAAATGGATTATAAGGCTCACGTGAAATATCAAAACAAGATTGGCCTGAATACAAGAATGACACGTAAACTAAAATCGAGATTAGGAGGTTTTTAATTGATCATTAGGACTCATTGCTAAGAGCATCACCAACGGTGCTCTTTTGACATTAAATTTTTTTGCCACATCATCAATTTAGAAAATTGGATTATTTTTCCATCTCCAACCCACTCTTTTACGTACGGTTTCTTTTAATCTGACCTGTATCCAACATTTTCAACCGCAAATTATATCCTACAGCCGGGTGTATGTGTACACCCGGTTATTTTGTAAATTTTAGCAACTTTAAGTCTTCGCTGCCATCCTTTTTCCTTCTCGTTGGATAATCAATTCGCTCCATACTTTTTCCTCTTCTGCCGTCATTCTCTTTTCTTTTCTCTTCCACTGCCATCCTCTTATCTTATCTTTTCAGCTGCCATCTCGTTTTCTTTATTTTCTTCCACCGCTATACTCATTCGTAATACTCAGCCGCCATACTCATCCTTTTTCCTTCTTTATTATTTTTACTCATCCTTTTACTCATCCTTTTTTAGTTTTAGTTTTTTTGTTTTATCTTTTCCTTTACCTCTTTTCGTTTCTTGATTGGTTGTTTACTTCCTTTTTTTATATGTTAATACTAAACACATTAAGAAATGAGTTTTACCTTAAACTCAAATGAGTAAAACACCTAAAAAATGAACATACACAAATGAGCTTATAAATTTCTGAATACTTATTTTGTAAATTATGTATGTTCATTTAGTATCTCTGTTATGCTCATTTTTAAAATGTTTTAACAATGCACATTTCAAAAGTCTCATATTACATTAGATTTTATAAGAGTTGATTATAGACACGAGACCACAACTCATGATACTCAATCGCATATTCTAATACTCAATAACGGGGATTTGATGCTCACCAAAAATGTCTTGATGTTTAACGAATAAAACTTACAACTTTCATATCAATGCTCATGTTGTAAGTTACACATGCTCATTTGTATAGGTCTGATGCTCATTCATCATTCATTAATACTCATGTTGTAAGTTACATATGCTCATCTGATACTCATTTTATGCTCATTTTCTAAATGTCATATCAATGTATTTTTTAAAAGTATTATTTTATGATAGACTCCTAAACCTCAACATAATAGGTTTGATGCTCATTAAAAGTTCATTAATGCTCATTCACAAGAAACTATGATTTTCATTTCAATAACAGATGTTTGATGCTCAATTAAAATGTCGCGATGTTCAACTAACAAACCTTACTATAAAAAATAACAAAAAGAAAGCGAATCAGAAGTTATGAAGCAGATATCACGATTCTGAATATTAGACTCCTAATACTCAACAAAATAGGTTTGGTGCTCATTAAAAGTTCATCATTACTCATCCTCCTGAAGTCGTGATTTTCATCCCAATAGTGGAGATTCTCTTCTGCAATTTTGAAACAGTAAACACATGTGAGAACCACGTTTCTCACTATGGCCGATTGTTGGTGAATTACTTTTGGTTGTGAATACCATTATTTTTTGGGAGTTAAAGAAAAAAATAGAAATGACCAATATGTAATTTACGTTTGGCTGAAAAAGGACTTTGGATTTCTTATAGAGTGCTATTCTTATTTCATTTGAAGGATTATTGGTGTGTGAATGAAATCTAATATTGAATATGTGATTTATCGATTTGGGAAAAAGTATTTTGTCTTTCTTCTCTCAGTACTAGGCAAGATTGACCATCATTTCCAAAGGGGAAATGATACGATTATCCCAATCGATTCTGAAATTCGATGAGGTTGGTATCCTATCTGTTTGATTGATATTAGCTAATAGCTTATCAAACCATTCGGATGTGATTAAGTCTTTAGCTGGACCCTTGTGCTTAATAAGATTTTCCTCCTCCTCAGTCTGTAGCATATAACTTCTCTGATCGAGTAATTTGAATACTAGTATATGTCATTAGCTTATTCAAAAGGCAAATTTGAACTAATTGTGCCACAGTTGAGTGTTTATTCGAAGGTCCCCCTGAAACCCCCGAACTGAAAGACCATCCCTAATGGCGTGCTAAGAGGCATGTTACTTTGTAAATGAAAATTCATATGCAAACTAAAAACTACACATGAATATAAAAAACACACTGCAAATGGAATTACATGCTAATGAGTAATGGCTTAAACAAAATTGCAGAGCATGATTGTAAAAAAATCCACTGTAAGATGTGGGATGTAATTTTTAGATTGACATTACTTTCAAACCTCAACTTTCCGGCGCAATTCCTCTATTTCAAGCTTTTGTTTCTTCAGTAATGCAGCATTTGTCAATATCTATTATTAAAAAAAATGAACTAAAATCAGCTCTATATCCAACTGAAAAGTGTAATCTACTATTTACTTAAGTGTTAGGATTTTAATAAAAACGGAACCTTGCAATGCTATCAATTAAGTAGTTTAGAATGAACTACTTATGCTTCACTGGATTCCACTCCATGGTTTATTAGTTTAGAATGAACTAGTTATACTTCACTCTATTTTAATGATATATATGCTACTATTTGGATTCCATCAACTGTGATGGATGTAAAAGTATCATAATAACCTCTTGCTCCATATTACTTTGTTTAATTGTTATGGTACTCATGACTACATTTATTTATCAAACAGCATAAATGGATTCACAAGACTCGGCTGAGTTTACTAATACTACACAGCCTGCTAGTTACCCCATGCCCTCAATGAACATGAACCAATATAATCCTTCATCCAATTACACCATGTCATTTCACGGTGCGAACCAATTCAACCCATCTTCTGCCTACTCTATCTCACCTCGCAATATGAACCAATTTACGCCACCCATCTATCATGTCTCCTACCAAGAACTGCTCAATACACCCATAGTGACCTCTCAAAGTTGTGAGCCCATCAAGGCATCAAAAAAGAGAGCTAAAAATGCCCAAAACTCTAATACTTCTCAATCTTCTACTCCCCAGCCTTCCATTATTAAAAAAGATTGGTCTATTGAAGAGGAGGTTGCACTGACAGAGGCCTGGCTTCATATATCTGTGGATGCTGATGTAGGAAATAATCAGAAGTGCTGCCATGTGGAATCGCGTCCTAGAAGTTTGGAAGTGGAAAATGGGGCCAACTCACAAGATATCAAGAAACAACAACCTGCATTGTCATTGGCACCTAATACGAACCTGTGCAAGTAAATTTGTTGCGAAGTATGAACAGTTGGAACAACGTCCACAAAGTGATTCAAATAAGGATGATTTGGTAAGAGTCGTGTTATATTTCAGCACTTGTTATTACAATTTTATATTAAAGCACTTATTACAATATAATATATGATTTTGCAAGACCAGTGTATCAATTATTTAATTTAAAGCAAGGAAACTTTTCAAACATATGCCACTCCATGAATGTATTTTTAAATGTGACTTATTATGCATGATACACTTTCATTAGGTGATCAAAGCATTACACTTGTATGAAGATTTTTATGCAACTCCATTCAAATTTCTTCATTGTTGGAAAATATTGATCAAGAATCCAAAGTGGTGTTCACACAGTTTCATACAAAGGCAGGTGCATCTAACAAACAAAGTTCAGATAATGCATTCACCAACATTGAATGAGTGCTCAAGCACTATGCTTGCAGATCTTACACCATCAAAAGAAACTGACCCAGATGGAATTGTTCGACCACAAGGAAGGAAAAATTGTAAAGACAAAAAAACGCAGGTTAAATGAAGAAAAAAGTGTGGTGGATGCCTTGAATAAGTTGCAATCAACTTTGGAGAAACAAGTTGACGTTAATCGAGCAAACATGCAAACGAGAGAGAAAGTGTTGATGAAAGAAATTGAATTAAAAGAAAAGGCTCAAAGGAGACAGTACCAGAACCGTATTATGAACCAAGATTTGAGAAAGCTGTCACCATCAGTTAGAGCTTCTTATGATGTTATGCAGGATTTTTTTTTAAAGAATGGGAAAGTGATGGTCTTTTCTAATCTACAAAAGTAAGTGTTCATATTATATGATTGTTTATTTGATCTTAATTTATTTTGTTACTTATATATATGATATGTAGTAATATATTTAGAATTTAAATTGATCTCTTTTATCATTTCACCATGTGCAGGTTGCATTTTATTGGCATCAAGTTTGAAGGATTTGGCTTTAATTTTCTCACATGTAGACTATGATCAAGAACTTTTAGATTTATTGTCATTCTTTATTATTTATGTATTTATTTTGAACACTTCAAATATTGACTTTCTACCTTACGTTTAATTTTGAACACTTCGAATTTTGACTTTCTGTCTTACCTTAAGTTTTGAACACACATTAAGGCGTGTCGTACTTTAATTTTCTTGTTTAGAATGAATGTAAACTTTGCCGTTTCAGTGTAAGTTCACTTGGAATTAAAATTTGTGACATGTTTAGTTTATACGAGATAGTTTATCTGCATTGGCAGATTTACTGTTGTATCATTCCAAGTGCTTAATTTTCACTGTGTTGAAGCTGGGGGTTTTACTATTTGGGAAAGAGGGGTTTAATTTTCAAGTGGTGCTTAATTGGAACTAAACATAGCTGAGTGAGTTTAGAAGTCAATTGCAACAGTCTTATTGGTCGGGATTGACGAATAGGGGTTAAGTTAATTGAGAAAAAATAACAAGTCAGATTCGATCATCAATACTAAGCAACAAAAACACAAACTTCCCAGAATTTACTAAGGAGTAATAAACTACTCGTGTATAAAATCACATAGATATACTAAGCACCATAAGGTCATCCCAAAACACACAATTTGACCGATTTATAAAACATTTGAAAATATGTGAAAGTCACACTTATAATTTATTACACTAAAGAATCCTTTACAAAAATCTGAATAAAATTCACAAACTCAATTCCATGCAATACTTTGGATACAGTATAACTTAAAAAAGACACTTCAATCTTCTCTCTGACCACCATACGGTTCCCACAGGTGATTGATAAGATCATGTTTTAGATATTTATGTACTCTTTTATCTTGTATTTCTTTCATTCTACCATTTATCCTAGACATAAGATAAGTAAAACCATGCTCTAGAGTAATATCTTCTATTGCTTCGTCGCTTTCTGGCCACCAATTTTCTGGATTGATGCCTTCATCGACCTCACTTTCAATAATCATATTGTGCAAGATGATACATGTCTTCATTACTTTTCCCAAATCGGTTGCCCTCCACATGCGAGCGGACCTTTTACTATATGTCAACGACTTTGTAACACTCCAAATGCGCGTTCCACATCCTTCCGTACAGATTCTTGACATTTTGCAAATAGCATTCTCCTTCATAGAAATGGATTGTGAAATAGTTTGGATTAATGTGGCATATTGTGGGTAGATATCATCAGATAGATAATATCCCATATTGTACTGATGGCCTTGTATTTTAAAGTCGTATGGTGGTGCATTATTGTAACACTTGAAATTTTACATAAACGGATTGATAGTACTACTCATACAAACAGAGATGCATCTCCTTTTAAGGGAGCTCATCACTCAAGAACTCCAAAGTTAAGCGTGCTTGAAGTGCAGTAGTCTTGGGATGGGTGACCCCCTGGGAAGTTTCTCAGGGCGTGCATGAGTGAGGACAAAGTGCGCGGTAAAAGCTCGTGATGGTTTGTGAGGACAGTACTAGAGGTCTGGAGTAACTACCTCGGGTCCTGTGGGGCCGGGGTGTTACAAGTATCATTAACAAGGTCATCGAAAAGAGGAGATCTATCAAGAACAATAACATCATTGTTAGTACTCGTCATACCAAAGAATGCATGCCAAATCCATAAATTATGTGAAGCTACAATCTCTAGAATAAGAGTTGGAACTTTTTTGAACCCATTAGTAAATGTTCCATGCCAAGCAGTCGGACAATTTTTCCAATGACAATGCATACAATCTAGACTACCAAGCATTCTTGGAAATACACGAGCTTCACTATCTTTTAATAGACTAGCGATACAAGACGTGTTTGGTTTTCTAAGATATTGTTTTTCAAATGATCCTATTATAGCACCACAAAATTTTTAAGGCATTCAATTGCAGTACTCTCACCAATTTGAACATATTCATCAAGGGAATCAGCTGAACAGCCGTATGAAAGCATTCGTATTGCCGCTATAACTTTTTGTAAGGGACTCAACCCTATTTTTCCAGCGGCATCAACCTTTTGTGTAAAGTAATTATCATAATTCTCTACTGCATGCAAAATTCACTCGAATAGCTTGATATCCATACGAAATCGACGACGAAACTTATCTCGAGTATACTTTGACTTCTCACCAATGAAGTAGTCACTTTTAATAAAATCATGACGTTCTTTCCTATCACGATGAATGTATTCTCTATCAATAGTTGAACCCCCATGTGCACGTTTTTTACCTGTTATATACGTTGACATCAAAATTGGAATCTGAACCGTGGCAGTTTCAACCATGAATGAGTCAGCTTCTTCATCACCATCCCTAAAAATTGACTTGATAAGAGAAAGTGACTATGTGCTTGAGGATGATGCAGCAGTTGAGCTGAATTCAGATTCTTCTGATGACATCAGCTATGGCATTTTAACATAAATTTAAAATATAACTTTGATATAATGAATGTAAAAAAACACAATTACTAATTTAAAAACTAGCAGATTCCTCCATCAATATATATGTTAAAATCAATTGAAATTCACACGTGATATTACTGAAAAAGCAAACAAGACAGTAACAAAATCAAATTAAAAAATCATATAATTTTTTTCTCATCAACCATCTGAATCGATAAATTCATGATCATCAATTTTTATCTATACTGTTTCTAGATAAACCAAAAGAAGAGTATACCATGATCAAAATTAATTATCCAAAGGTATTGGGTTTGTGATACAAGAAGCAGAAATCAAATAGGAGGATTTAAATACCTAAATTTGATATTTCGTTCCTGTTTCGTGCCATGGAGTGATATGGCTGCCCATGATTTGGTTTACGGGTTTAGTTATATAGGTTTACAGAAACTAGGGATTTCCGTTTATGAGTTTAGTTAGATACGTGTTTTAATTTTCTTTTTTAAAAGGTAGTTAGATTAATCGGTCAACACCATGCATTGGACATCCCTAATTAATTACTTTTAATTGCATCTTATATGGGCTAACATTGCTTTACTTAATTGACATTTGGCAAAATTTACCTTCACTCCAAAGAGCATCATTGGAGATGCTCTAATTAAGGATCATATTTGCTTTAGAATTTTTTAAATGAATAGGTGACGTGGAATTAATAAAACATGCACTAGACCCATAAACAGGAGAACTATCCTTTTGGAAAATTTTGCAAATAAAATTATGCGGAGAAGAGCTGCCCATTAATGTATCACCATTTGTACAGCATCATCACCTATTTTTAAAAATTAGCAGTGCGTTGCAGCGGGCGGGGGAGGAGGGCCGCTGCCCAGGCGGAAGATGACGGAGATGATTATTATTTTAATTCGGGTGGCCCGTTTCCTTCTCCTTTCGGAGAGGATGAGAACCCCACTTCAAGAGTGTGCCATTGGCTCTGACTTCGAATCCAGTCCATAAGACCACTACAACATAGAGTCGATACAGAGGATTACCAATTTACCAGGAACAAGTTTCGTTGTCTCAAGAGAGGACCCAGTTTCCAAGAAAGGGCCTCAGTGCACTAATGGACACTATATATGAACGGATCCCATTTTTTGAAGACCCTAGGTCATACTCATTCTGATTGGGTCTTTGGCACAATTGCAGAGCTCGTTGATAACTCAAGAGATGCCAAAGCCACCAAACTTTCTGTTAGCTTGGAATATCTGAAATCGGTTGGTGAGGAAATTCCTATGCTCTCTTTTGTAGATGATGGGTGCGGTATGAACCATGAGGAGGTTTTGAAAATGATATCATTTGGCCCCCCTAAACGGAAGGAATATGACACTGGTCACATTGAGATTGGCAGATTTGGCATCAGCTTCAAGGTAAAAAATTATTATTATGTTATTTTGCTTAGTCCAATGGGACTGAGGGAGTTATATGTTTACAATGCTTTGATTATTTTTTTGCAGATAGGAGCAATGGCCCTGGGCAGGGATGCCCTTGTTCTTACCCAGACTACCAAATCCAGATCTCTTGCTTTCCTTTCCCAGACACTAAATGAGGGCAAAATTGTATGTTGATTAAAGTATTTGTCAATTTATATTCTCTGGTCTTTCTCTGGTCTTTCTTTGGTCTTTCTCATGCCCACCTCGTGACGCCACTGCGACGGCCCATGAAGCTCCCTGGCATCCTTGACCCGAACCACCATGAGAGCCATGCCTTGCTTGGCGCCTAAGGTCTCTCAGTTTCTCTTTTTGATACCACTCGAGTAATTCACCCATTTGGGCAAACTGAACATCACTCTCATCGTTGTCCTCGTTGATGTACGTATCACCCCCATCGTATGTTGTCTCCTCATGCTCTGTTTCAGGAACATATGTAGAGTCATAGTTCTCGGTGTTGGTTTCATACACCGAACTAACATGGCCATCGCTCACAATTTGAGCCCGATGACCTCCACGGCCTCTGCGGCCTCCACGGCTTCCCTTTGAGCCCCGAGATGCAGCCCAGCTAGCCCCAATGGCGCTACCAACACCTGCCCCCTCGGATTGTTCCTTTTTGTCATACGCCTACCCTCCATTTTTGAAAAGACATTTGGATGAGTCATTAGACTCCTATCAAGTGTCAATTGACTGAAAAACGTTATAGACACATATTGGCCCACGTCACCGTCATACCAATTGTTAAGGGTACCATCTTAACAATTAGAGACCTTGCATCTTAGGTAACAATAGTTCTATAAACGTCAATATACAATGCTCATGGTTTTCGGTAAAAACTCTTTTGTAAAATCTCTCGTGAGCGGTTGATTATATAGTTTAGAACTGAGATGGCTCTGATATCACTTAATTGTCACGCCCCCGACCACAATCTAGGCGCGTGTACAACCGCCGTAAAATCAAGTGACGTCACATGCGAGTCAACATCACTTAATCATACAAGGCGTTCGAGAAAATAATACATCCATGCTCAGTGGTAAACATACATAACAACATCACAATTATACCAATGAATAGCGGAAATATTCAACGGTAAATCTTAAGCCACATTCGGCCAACAACATGGGCATGCAAGCCCCAAAGTAGTTTATAATAAGTAAAATATCCACGAGCAATGTTTGGTAGTTTGAAAGGAAATAAGGAAGCACGAACCACGTCTTCCTTTATTTGATACCACTCATAAAAAGGTGCAAGTAGTAAGCCCTAGCTTCAACATGAAAACGGTGCCCCCCCCCCCCCCGAAGGGGTCAGTACAAGTACCGAGCGAGTAGCAGGTTAAATGTAGAATAACTAGCGTTTCAAATATAAGACCCAAACATAGGGTGGTACTTACATAAGTTGTCCTTTTTTCCCCCAAGTTATGAAATACTTATTAGTATATATATATACTTGGATATAAAAGAAGCAGAATCAGTTCCAAACACATCCTTGCATGATTTGCCGAAATTTTATTTTTGCCACCTAGTTTATCCTCTACATGATTTATATTCTAACTTATATGACCTCCTATTTTGTGTACAATGTTGATGTGGATATAAAAGTTTCTAGGGTTGCATATGTGAAATTTCAATAGAGGTGAGTAAATTTTTTTGACCGAACCTTTAAGTGGTATCTCTAGATAAACATTCTAAAATAATTTTAGGTTCAATTTGATTCATTCAACAATAAAGTATCAAAATGTATTAATAAGAATAGTTGATGTACCATTTATGTTAGCTATAGAGGTACATGTACGAACTAGTTTTACGCACACTCTTACATCACCTTCAACTAAAGTTCGACATCGACCATGACTGTATCTGTTATTGGCATGGACTCCTATGAACTTGTTATTTTAATGTTAATTTAAGAAATGACATATTAGTGTTATTAGAGTGGCATTAAGCAATAATGGTGTGCCCAACAACATCTCCTATTTAAGGAATTTTTTCTTTCTTTTTGGTCATTAAACTAACAAATATATATTATATTAACAAAACGTTCGTCATTTGGCTGACAATACAATCAGAGAAAAAGCATGAAACAAAATAATAAAAAACCTTTTGTCTGCCGTCTGCCCTTGAACCAGACTTGGAATCCATCACCTTTGTAGAAGCAATAACATTCGTTGATCTTGTAATGAGCACTGAGCCATGACCGGCAAACTAGACTTCTCATCACCTCTAAAACGTTGATATCTTTAAATATTTTGGTCAAAGAAGTTAAACTTTGACCAGTTATATGTTTTTATAGGAACTTAATTACAATATATAAATGACATTAAAATTTTATTGGTTTAAAATAATGGTAGTACTTGTTTGATCCATTCAAGAATTAAAGTATCAAAATGCATTGATACAAATAGTAAATCAACCGCCTCCTTTTGAATGGAGAAAACCTAAGAGCAAGCTTAAACTTAATACAGATGCTAGGTACTTATCTAGTCGAGCAGTCATATGAGCGATTATCCGTAACGAAATGGGAGAGCTGGTGTTTGCCATCTCGTTTCCGATTGATGCTCTGTTCTCTATGGAAGCGGAGCTTAAAGCTATAATCGTTGCAGTTCGTTGGGCTATTGATGCGGGTTAGGCCGAGTTTGAGGTTGAATGTGATTCGGTCTGATCTATTGAGTAATGTGAGTATCTTTCAGGTAAACAATCGAGAAGATGGAGAGATGATATTCACGAAACAGTGCTTAATGCAATTAGGAAATGGATCACATCACCTTTCGTCATTCTTTGTGGGAGACCAATTGGGTGGCCCATTACTTAGCAGCAATGGAGTCAGCCCAGCTACAGATTTTTACGAGGCCACATCTACTCCCGGTCAATGCTAAACGGGCTTATTACATGGACTTATTTCCCATTCCTTCTATTAGATTTTATATTTAATTGTTGTCTATTTTTTTAATTGTTGTATTTTGAATTTTGAGAATGTATGCCTTCTCTGAGAGGTTTTGGCCTAGTCCCCTCTTGTTTTGTATTTTCACTTATTTTAATAAAACTTACATGGTAAATGTTCAAAAAACATTGTAATCGCTCAAATATTACCAAATATAATATACCATAACCATAATCGGACAACGTGGGGGATGGAGACAGTATCCTTTTAGAGGTAAAAGAATTGTTTAGGCATGGTGGCCAATGTTAACAAGAACGCATTTGGTTGCAGTTGTTGATCAGGATTTCATCAAGATGTTTCACAATATGCTCTGTCAGCAAATAACATATAATTACAATGTAGCAGAGCAATTAAAATAATTCTCATCTAATCAAATTCAATCTTATGGGAACTTAAAACTTGCACAAGAGACCATGGAAGATCTCTTCTGCCCGGAAGGTGTTCGATTAGAAGCTTGCAAGACGGTTGGAATTCACGCATAGTGGAGTTGGTGGGTCGGCCTAGCTTAATCAACATTCAAGCTTGATGTACTCAAGATTTGAGTTCATCACTTTTAGAGGAAAGAAATGTAGAAGAGAGAGTACGAGAGGACGGGAAGGGACGGAAAACCTGCATAAAGGGCAAGTATGACAATGGGATGGTGATCTCAACAACCAGTTGGAGATGCAATTTACATGGAAGATGTGATCACATGGCAACAACATTGCTCCAGTAGCCCCCGCGGCCTGGTGCAAATGCTCCCCCGGAGCGGGGAGAAGCTCATCATCCAGACATTGGAGGCGAACCACCGCAATCTCGGAGGACGAGGATCCGTAGTTCTCAAAACAAATTGCACATCTTTTCTCCTCTTCTCCTTCCTCTTCGTCACCGCCAAGCTGATAGAAGTCATAGCCATTGGGAACTATCATCGGTAGAGGCATTGGAGACGATGGACCGTAAACATCAAAACTGTCTGTATCCCCTTGCCGCAGACATTCTTCGAGACTGATCAAGTCCTTAACTGTCAAAATTAAAGACAAGTGTATAGATACACCCACACCAATCCAGAACAATTTTGAGCAATTGTTATTGATGAGACTCAGTTTATCATTAAGCTGATCTCGACATTCAGTTAATAAAACGCGGGCGAAGCATCTTAGTCCACCCCAGCAGACCGCCGGCTCCAGCGGGGAGAGAACTTTTTCTGTAATCAAGGTGATGAATTCTTCTTCTTCTTCTTCGGTTCCTCCGTGGAGGATTTTCTTCAACTCAATATTCTCCACACATTTACCACAAACGTCAACATAGTCCTCTATCTTATACAGAAGCTTCTTGTTGCGGCGGCCGCTCTCTGCCATAATCCACCATGTTTTCTCATATGAAGCATTCCCGTCCAGATATATACTAACTAGAGACCTTTCGAGATCGGGATCATCTTCTGTGTCTATGTCCAGATTCCACCGCCACTCCATTGTAGTGCGGCCCTCCATGGTTGATCGCAGGCTATCTATTGATTAAGAATGAATTAATTAATTCATTACATAAGAAGCGGTAGTATGTACTTATAGTATATGAAAAATACATTCCTACTGCTCTTAGGATTTCAAAGCGTGAGTATGTGGTCCTCAATCCGGAGCTGACATGGGGATGTAGCAAAAAAAAAGAGAAAGTTCCCAAAATAGGATTAAAACAGTTTGAAAATTCTAAAATAGGACTGCCAAGTTTTTTATTCCCAAATAGGAGTAATTACTGCCATGTTTGGAAAATACTGCCATGTTAGAAGTCTGATACTGCCAAAACATGGCAGTAATTAGTCCTATTTTGGGAATAAAAACATGAGAGTCCTATTTTGGAATTTTCATACATTTTTAGTCCTATTTCGGGTAATTTCTGAAAAAAAAAAAAAAAAAAACAGACCATATGCCTAGGCTCACCGGTCTAAATTAATGTGTTTTATTTGTATTCCTTCCTTTTTTTTAAGCCTAAAGGGTTTTTTGACTTTCGTTAAAATTACAGACATAGAACTGGGGTTTGATAAGCCTAGTCTCTAGTCCATTCCAATTTTGACAATCACTTTTAATTTAAGGTAATTAGGAAAATCATTTGTAATTTAAATTACAATCCAATTAGGAAAATCACTTTTAATTTAGAGTAATTCTATTTGTGATCTCAAACTTTGTTTTATCCGAGGGGGTCGGGTGAGGGGGGCTGGCTGGGGATCTCCAACCTACTACTATGTATATACTCCGTATTTACGATCATCAATTTAATTATTAATAAAAATATTTCATCAAAAAAATTAATGCTCCCTCCGTATTTAATTGTTCCCTACACTTTCTTTTTTGGGATGTATTCAAAAATTTGCTAGACTTTTCATTTTTGGTAAGTTTTTCCTTTAAAAATACTCAATTACTCTTACTTTTTCAACTTTTTATCTTATTTTTCCTATTTTCCACCTTCTTTCCTACTTTTTCTACACTATTCATTACCCCTACTATTTTCCCATTAAATATTGTGTCAACCCCTAGTGTAGAGATCTTTTAAATACGGAGGGAGTATCAAATTCAATTACAATCATATATCATCATAAAATTGAAACTTATTTAGAGATTTCATTTATATCACTACATTTTATATTAATCATTTATGTCCCCAAACTATTCCTCCATTCTTTATTAATTGTTCCTTTTGGCTTGAACACGGGTTTTGAGAGAAAAATAGTAGTAGTATAAATTATAGAGTGTGTACATTAAATGATAAAGTGGGAAATAGAGTATATTAAGAAGAGTAAAATGATTCTGAAGTAGGAAAGCAAGTATATTAAGAAGAGTAAATTGATTTTTTTGGAAGAATTCGGCTTATATTTAACAGATAATTCAGAGTAAGGGCAAACAGACCAAAAGAAATCTGGCAATGGTTATCCCGCGAAGTCAACGATTTACAAACAGGAACAGTAAAGAAAAAACAAACAACAATACAGAAATAACAATCACTAAAAAAGTAAACCAAACAAAAAAAATAAAAGACTTCTGCCTCAGCCAGCAAAATCGAACAGTCCCTCGGACTTGCGGCCTCCACACTCCCATCAGCAAAATTGATCATTCAAACAATTTTTGTCCTCTAAATTATGAAGGTTTAGTTTTAAAAAAATTGGAATCCATCTTAGAGTAGGAAGCGTGGTGAAAACCAGTCCCACAGGAGGTAATAAATGGCTCCTGGAGGGTTCATCGAGCTCTGGCAGAACGGGTGGATATACAGGGGCATATAAATCGGAAGAGAAGATGGGAGAAAAAGAGAAAGAGGCAGTGACTGAATCAGCCCAAAGCATTACCAAAGGAGGAGGGGATGAGTCAAAAGAAGAGGTTTCGAGGAGGAGGAAGATCTGGGAGACTCGGTCAGAGAAGATTCGAGAGGACAACATGGCTTTGGATAGAACAAAAAACGGGGAGGAGGCGGGCTTTGCTCTTTAAGCCCGCCGAAAAAACCACAAATGAAACAAAAGTTGGGCAGTCTTTCAATTTGCCATCTTTTTTCAGATTTGTCCCCTTTTTCAGCGATTTATTCACCTTCATAAGAACCCTAACCCGCATATATGGCTCCAATCTATCACTCTTCTTATTGTCATCATATTTTATAAACTCCCCAATGAAATTTTCCACACGCCTAGCAGTTCCTAGATTAACAAGGCTATAGGAGACATTATGAATCTGATCCCAAAACTCAGGCGGAACTTCTTTTAACATTAATAGACTACGCTCAAACTGCCAAGGACCTCCTTCAAGCACACGCATCATATCAAAGCGATGATTAAAAGTAAATAGGTACCTCTTTTCACCAATTTCTTTTACCGACATACCCTCCCCCGGCCTCCAAAGTGTGAGCATCATCTCTTTAAGGTCTGGGAATTTGACATTTCGGTGCGTCAAAACCTGGCCAATCACCGGAAAGCCCGCCGAACCCACCTCCAACGGTGCTCCCTTAGCCTCAACCTCATTAAGGTCCAACTCCTCCTCTTCAACCCCGATCGCCACTTGTTTATGCCTATCAACAAAGTTTTCCATGTTCCTATAAAATATGGAGATTTTTTACTAATCCTAATTAAGGTTAATAATTTTATATAATTCATATGTGAGGACTATCGCGCTCTAAATCTAAATAATTACCCCTCTATTCATCGAATATACTAAAAAGTGCACGAAAAGTTATTGTAATATAGAAAACGAGTTTTTGCCACTATCAGTCCCCCAACTATAGTGAGAGTGATACTTTTGGTACTCGACTTTTGAGTTTTTCATTTTTAGTCCTCAAATATTGTCCTAGCTAGGGTCACATTTAGTCCTCGATTTTTAAGTGTCTCACATTTAGTCCTCTAAGTATTATCAAATTGACACTTCAATTTCAATCTTTTCACTACGATTTTGACAGAATAAGTGGATGAATAAAAAGGTCACTATTATAATAGTTGAAGCACAAAAAGTGCCATTTCTATGAAGTCGGAGGATTAAATATGGAAATTTTCAAAGACGAGTACTAAAAACGTCTCTAGCCGCACAATAGTCGAGGATTAAAAATGGAAAAAACAAAACCGAGTACCAAAAATGTCAATATATAATAGTCCGACTATATGGTAGAATAACGTTGAATATAGGCATATAACTCAGCACTCTTAACGTATTACTTGAATTTCTTGTTCATGCTATATTTTCTTAGTATGCGATGACGATAGATGATGATCATTCACCCAATAACTAATACGGAGTACTATTATGTCCAGAGTGTAGGATGCATTTGGGTTTAAGATGCATTTGGGCCCCTGAAGAGATACTTTCCGAAAGATTGATAAAGCAATTGACTTAAAATTAAAAATTTAGGATAGTATTCAAAATTTTGCTATAATATGAGTACCGAGATAATGTAAGGTTGGATACAGTCCCGAAATGGCTAGGACCGGAACCGGTCAACTTAAAGAACTGAACCAGGACCTTTTTCGATCCATTTTAAGCTTAGGACCGGCGCCAAACCCCACTAGCGTTGGTCTCGATAAGGGTATTTGGTGACCCGATCTAGGATTAGTGCATGTCGAAGGTAATGTATTTGAACAATGGGATATGCTTAATTGAGTAATCAGATACATTTTTGTAGGAAGAAGGATAAAATAACAGATATAGATTGTTGGAGAAAAAATTACGCTACTTAAATTCCATTTTTTAATTGTCCAAAACTATCCATCACATCTTAAGATACAAATTACATTTTCAAATTTCAAGCACAGCTGTCATAACGCCCTAGTAGGGAGTGAAAACAGACTTCTTTTACTAAGAGTTTATGACTCGCCTAGTGAAGAAAATATAATTTGTTATATTTGTATACTCAATGCATATTTTATTACCACTTGCGATAATCTCTTAAAATTTTAAATCACTTTAAACAAATTTGTTGTGAATTTGGTGCCTATAAACCGCATTAAATTACGCTTATATATATAGCACACGACTAAGATTACTGTATAATCTTTGACTAATATTGACTAAACCTTTTAGCATATTTACTCCAACAAATGACAATATTATATATATATATATATATATATATATATATATATATATATATATATACAAATCATTGACTAATATTGATAATTTGCTGTGTAACGGTATAAGCAATATGTCCGTAGCTTGAAACCGAGAAACACAAACGACGCGATGATCTTGGCTCCATAAACTAAACCGCAAAATCCACATGTTTATATACTACTTCCGTTCCTTTTTAATTGCAACAGTCCACTTTTCACGCTTGCCAACACACAAGTTTAACCGTTAATATCTTTCATTCCTTATTAGTAAAAAAAATTTAAAAAATCAGATTTTGAAAATTTATTATGAGAGGAATTTAAAAATATTTTTTAAAAATTTAATTTGTAATACATTAATTAATAAAAGGTAGTCAAAGTAGAATCTGTGAATAGTGAAAAAAAGTCCTACGTTGCAATTAAAATAGAACGGAGGTAGTAAAAAATAAAAAAAAATGTTACAATTGCAACAAATTTATGAATCATCATTTAATTTATTTACAGGTGATACAAAATGTTAAAGAATAAGTTACGTAAGGCGAAAAGGGCAATTTAAAAGAACGTATGGCCGGTATGGGATATGTGACTCATGGGCCAAAAGTTAAGGATTTTAAGAGGGAAATTCTAATCGCAGCTACTTATTTACTAAATACAGCCATGATTATTTGTTTATTCCACTTATATCCTTTAAAGAATAAAGAGAAAGGGGGCAAATAAGGCCACGTACTAACCAAAAAAAGTCAAATAAGGCCCTATTTAAGAGGCTCTGTCCGGCCGTCGCCATTTGGGATGATTCCCGGTGGAATTTTTTATGAATTTTTTTGAACATCTTATTCAGTAAGTCTAATTTACTCATACCAAATTTCAGCTAAAACTTCAATCGGGAAGGTATTCAAATGAACTCTTGAAGATAACTGCGCAGTTAAAAGCACAATTATCTTCAGGAATTCCTTTGAATGCCTTCTCGATTGAATTGTTAGCTGAAATTTGGTATGAGTAAACTAGACTTAATGAATAAGATGGTCAAAAAAATTCATCAACAAATTCCACCGAGAACCACCCCAAATGGTGAATGCCGGACATAGCCTCATAAATAAGACCTTATTTGACCTTTTTTGGTCAGTACCTGGCCTTATTTGCCCCTTTTCCCAAAAATAAATTAGCATTGTCCGTTAACATGGCTTCTACTGGCAAAGAGCAGGCTGCACTCTATCTCTCTGCTTAGAAAAGTAAGCCGCCAGACAGGACCGGCAACGATGGCGAAGGCTGAGAGGTAGATGAGGTGCCTCAAGATTGGCAACGAGGGCTCACCTACGGGTAGGGGTGTGCACCGGTCCAAAACCGGACCGGACCGGAACCGGTTAGGACCGGAACCGGAATCATCATTTTCTATGGACCGAAGACCGGACCTGAATCTAACCGGTCCGGACCGGTCCAGACCTGAATTTTCCGGTCCGGTCCGGGTTTGACCCTAATTGACCCGGTTTTAAAAAAAGACATACGGAGTATTATCTTAGAGTGTTCTTTGCCGACCCCAAATTTTTTAGGAATAAGACTTGGATGTTGTTGTTGTTTCAAACTATAATTTTATATGCGGATATGCTAAATAGACTAAATAATTGTTTAGCTCATTTATTAATTTTGGAATATAGTCTTCAAAACTATTCAATCGTAACAATTAGTATCCCACAATAATTAAAACTACAATCTTTTGTGTATTAAATTGGCAAAATTTATTGTGGGGTAATAAAAACTAAATTACGTCCAAAAATATACTACATATAAACTGCATACACACCTGCAAATAAAGAAACAAATAAAAAGCGATTTGGAAAAAGCAAACAACTATAAACTACGATCAATAAAAAACTTAGGACCTGCTACATAAAATAAAATTATAAACAACTTGGGAAATAATTATACACCAAATACACACTCCGTATATATTCGTTTATATAACAAAAGGCAAAAATAAGCCATAAACATAGTAGTAAGCCAAATATAAATTGACTAATGATTCAAAACGAAGTATATATTTTATGGAACAATAGGTTACCGGTCTATTCTGGTCCGGACCTGTTTTTTCCAGGTTTGACCCGGACCGGACCGGCAACCCGGAATCTTGAAAAACTAAGGACCGAAACCCGGACCGGTTATTACCGGTCCGGTCCGGACCGGGTCATTCCGGTCCGGTTCAGGTCTAAAATACGGTCCGACCCGGTTAATGCACAGCCCTACCTACGGGCTGCGGCTAACGACGACTCACCTTCTAGCCCTACCATCCCAAATCAGATTGCCACCCATCTGTGATCAATTGAACTTCATCCCTCATGAGACTACGAATTAGGAGCAAATCACTATCTCAGAGTGGTCAACGATCGTAGCGATCCTCTCTACTGTGACGAGGATTAGATTCGAGGAATTTGAAGTTACATTAATAGATGTAAGGGTAACTTAGGGCTTTTACAATTTAGAGGACTGTGGATAGGTGAGAGCTGTCAATAGAATCTCCCATTTTAAAACATGTACTAGGCTCTCGGGCAGGCACTAAGCTGAACTAGTGAAGGGACTGAAGGGGTACGACAAAATATAATTTGGCCCATGCAGGTTTCGGGCCTGCGACCTTCGCGTTATTAGCACGACGCTCTAACCAACTGAGCTAATGGGCCTGCTTGACATTACGTAACACTTTAACGTTATTAATATCTACAAAGAAGATGTATATATGCGTAACACTTTCACACGTACGTACATGCATAATTACCCCTCCTTTTAGAGAGTGCAATTTTGTTCACCCCCTCAAAGGAGGGTGAACATAAACCCCCTCCCTATTTGCTTGCCATGTGGAAAGGCAATTAGTAATAATATTGCAATTGTTTTAACTTTTTATTTTTTAATCCAATTTTTAAAAAAATACTCCGTATGTCATAATTTTTATTTTTTTACAATCTTTCATATGGTACCAATATTGCATATAAATATTTAAAAATGCAGCTAAAAATGAATATGTAGAAAAAACATTTTTTTTTAATTTTTTATATATACAATATTGATACCTTTGGAAAGATCTTTAAAATTTATTAAATCTGATATATATTTTTATAAAAGTTGAACAACAAATTAAAAAGTTATTGTAATTTAAACAAAAAAAGAAATGGAATATCAAATGGCAAAATTTGAGCTAAGGGGGTGATGTTCACCCTCCAAGGAGGGGTGAACAAAATTGCACTCCCTTTTAGACTTTCAGTTGAAGGTGGAATCTAAATCTTGAATAGGTACGGTCGTACGGGTAGGACGGGTTTGATTTTTGCATTCAATTATTACGTGCAAAATTTGAGGAGTTTTGATAGGTGTACACAAATTATTTGTATATATTTGTCTGTTCTTCGCAGATAAATTGTCTGTCACAAACAACTTAATATGAGTTGTCTTTGACAGACAACTTGTCTGTCCCACATTTTGTGTACACATTTTGTGTACACCAATCATTTTTCAAATTTGAGACACTACCCTACAATATTTAATTAATAAGAGACGATGACATATTTCGAGTCAAAAGTTTTTTGAACAATTTTGGGTTGGATCAATTTTTGCGTGCAATTAAATTAACTATTTTGATAATTATTTATAGGGACCATTATTGACGGAAGGTATCTAAAGTTGAGATTATTCTGAAATAATCGATAGTTGGGATTATTATAAGCGGACCGCCAATAGTTGGGATTATTTCTATCAATTTTTCCTTAAAATTACCCTTTTCCACCTTACTTAACTTATTCTTTAACATTTTGTTTCACCTTTAAACTAATAATGACAAATAAATTTGTTTGTAATTATAACATTTTATTTTTATAAACATGTGGATTTTGCGGTTTAGTTTATGGAGCCAAGATCATCGCATTATTTGTGTCTTTCGGTTTCAAGCTACAGACATATTGCTTATTGAGTTTTGCTAGAAGTACACAAAATGTGTACACATGTCTGTCTTTTACAGAAAATTTGTTTGTCAAAATGAGTTGTCTGTGACAGATAAATTTTCTATGAAAGACAGACATGTGTACACATTTTGTGTACACCAAGCATTTTTCATTGCTTATTATACGTTGTTTAAATTATCAACATTAGTCATCAATTATTTTCAAAAAAATATTAGTCATCAATTTGTGTATATATATATATATATTCATTTGTTTTAGTAAATATGCTAACAGATTAAAAGGTTAAAATCTTAGGTGTGTGCTATATACGTAACTTTATATGCATCAAATTCACAACCAATTTGTTTAAAGTGTCATTGATTATTATACATTAAAAATTAAAGATATTATCGCAAGTGGTAATGAAATATGACATGAGTATAGTAGTATACACATATGACGAAATACATTTTCTTCACTAGTCATAAACTATTGGTAAAAGAAGATCGTTTTCACTCCCTAAGCGGTGTGACGGAAAAGAGTCATATAGACCCTCGAACTTACATATAAAGGTTAAATAAACCCTTATATAGGAGATTATGCGGCCGTCGCCATTTGGCGGTTCCCGGTGGAACTTTTTGATTAAAAAATTTGAGCATCTTATTCATTAAGTCTAGTTTACTCATACTAAATTTCAGCTAAAACTTCAATCGGAAAGACATTCAAATGAATTCTTGAAGCAATAACTGTGCAGTTAATTAAACACCTCCTTATTGTATTATGGTTACATTAATACTTAATTAGTTTGGAAATTTTATAATTAACTAGAAACTTTGCTAGAGTAGCCATATGTATATTTTTTGCAAAAAAAGAATCGAGAATTCGGATCGAACCGGCCCGTTTCAAATGGGGCGGGTAAGGTCCGATTCCTATTTTGAGACTTGTTATACCCAGACCAAATTTACCCATTAAATGGAACCGACGGTTCTTGAAAATTTATCAATTATCCGACCGACCCAAACTGTGCCCACCCCTAGACCGAAGACCTAGGCATGTCAATGGGTCGGGTCTAGACCCGGACCCGACCCTAAACTGAAGACCCATACCCGTTAACGGGTATGAGTCTATATTTTATTATGTTTACCCGGATCCGTACCCGTTAGTATATTTAATAAACGGGTTGGATACGGTACATGTGATTCCGACCCGTTAAGAACCCGTTTAAAATTTCTTATTTGTATACAAACACACTAATACATAAAGTGATGAGTTATAACACTTCAAATAAAAAATACAAACTAATACACACACATATTTACAACTAATACATAAAAGTATTAGTTGTAATTCTTTAATTAAAAATATACACACTAAATCACTAATACATACCTATTATATACTCCGTAAGTGATACTGATCGAAATTCGAGATAGTATGATAGAATAAAAGTAATACCCATTTTGGCCGTTTGTACGTAGTGATAAATGCGTATTGTGCTCGGTAAGCAACACACAATATTCATTATTATTAATATTAACTATTAATATTATTATATCATTATGATACACTCCGTACAATATGTTTTTATACTCTCAATAGTCCAAGACAACATTTATGACTTAATTTGAAGATTATTTTACGAGCTCTATGTATGAGAAAAAGCGACACATAGTGTAGAGTTATACGCAAGAACCGATATTTAATTTTATTGGATAAAAGTACTAATTTGAGAAACCTTGATTTTTTTTTAAAAAAAAGTGAAGATTTTTTTTTGAAAAGTGAAGATATATATACTCCCTCCGTTCTTTTTTAAATGCAACGTTGGACTTTTTCCACTATTCACGTGTTCTACTTTGACTTTATTTTATTTATTAATGTATTATAAACTAAAATTTAAAAAAAATTATTAAATTCTTCTCATTTCAAATTTTCAAAATCTTATTTTTTTAATTTTTTTTACTAATAAGGAATGAAAGATATTAATGGTCAAACTTGTGCGTTGATAAACATGAAAAGTAGACCGTTGCATTTAAAAAAGAACGGAAGAAATATTTTGCTTTTTAGTTTGCTCACTTTTTTTACATTTCACATACATATCTTGTTATTTTCACAAAATTTATAATGATGTCATACTTGGTGGATCTACTACCCGACCCGGTTCAGAGACTCATTGGATTCGAGTCTGAATCCAAATTTTCAGACCCATTGGACAAACGGGCCGAGTATGAGTCCATTATTAACTTAGGAGGTCGGGTCTGAAACTTCCCGCCCGGACAGACTCATTGACACGCCTACGAAGACCGACATACACTATACTACGGCGTCGTTTGTTCGGAAAACCTACATGGCTACGTGGCTCGAGTGATCGCTCCTAACTTTTCGGATGGCGGGGATTTGGACTGTAAGTGAAGGAATTTGCTGCTCTCTTGAATAATGGGTTGAAGAAGAAGAGTGCGGTTCCGTTTATCGAATCCGGAGAGAAAATGACGAGCCCCACGGGAGGAGGAGGAGGAGGGAGAAGGAGAATCTTTGAAGAATTCTCCCCAGGTTATTACGGGGTTTGCGCCATTGGAGGCATGTTGAGTTCTGGAACAACCCATCTCGCTTTAACACCTTTTGATGTCCTCAAAGTCAATATGCAGGTCCATTCAGATTTCTCTTCGTGTTTCTCATACGAGTATAAATTAATGTTGAAAAATGGAAATGGTGTTTGGAGTTCTATTTTCCTTTATCATGGTAGTTTGGTGGAGTGTTTCGTTGGTATGGATTCGTAAACATATTTCCAGAGCTCTGCACTTTAGTTTACTCGTATTTTTTATCGTTTAAATAACCATTTGGTGTTTGAAACTGGTTAAATTGTTGAATTTGGAGTGTTTAGGTTAACCCTGTGAAGTACAACAATATACCAACAAGCTTTTCCACTTTACTAAGAGAAGAAGGCCCATCTGTGTTCTGGAGAGGATGGGGTGGGAAGTTTTTAGGGTATGGTGTTCAGGGTGCTTGTAGATTTGGTCTCTACGAATACTTCAAGAACGTTTACTCAAATTTACTTGGGGATCAAAGGAAGACTTTGATATTCTTTCTAAGCAGCTCATCCTCTGAAGTGATAGCTAATTTCGCTCTCTGTCCGTTTGAGGCTATCAAAGTCCGTGTTCAAGCATATCCCCATTTCGGGAAGGGCCTTGCTGATGGATTCCCCAAGTTATATGCTTCTGAAGGAGTCCGAGGGTACTTTTGAGTAATTTGTTCAATTTCCTATTTTTCTTGTTTACAACAATGTTTCTCACAAAATTCTCCTTTTCTGTGATTACAGCTTATACAAAGGGCTTATACCGCTGTTGGGCCGTAACCTCCCATGTACAGAGTAATTTATTTCAAAGTAGATAATGTTCATTGTGTACATACATTAAGTCCATGAAGCTAGTGAAGGTGTATTGTAATTTATATAGTAGTAGGATCTAAGGTTGAGCTTGGAACTTTCATTTTGAAACTCAATAAATGAACTTTAGATTTTTGTTTTACTGCATTCTATTTTGGGAAAAGGGTCAAATAAGTCTTCAAAGTTTTAGTGATTCTGCAATTGAGCCATTGGACCGGATGACCTTACAAATACACTATTGAATTCATTGAGAAAACCAATTAAGCCCTTTTTACCTATTGGGTGCCTAAAAGGCAGTAAAATCCGGGTAGTTTCTAGTGGCTTGTTATGTTCACAAAGCACGTGATAGGGCTCAATTTTTTTTCCCAATTAGTGTGTTTGTAGGTTGTAAGGTCATCTGGTTCAGGGATCGAATTCCAGGACTGCTTATCCTCTGAGGGCTAACTTGACCATTTTATCCTTTAATTATATAGTTCTTTCACATGAAGAATGAGAAATCTAAATATATGTAAGAGGATTTTTTTTATCAAAACAGATTTCACTTTCTAGGCTAAAGCCAAACATTAAAAGACCATTTTTTTCTTTTCTTTTTATTTGCTTCAATACCATTTCCTGTGTTCAAAACATGGCCTCAATAAATTTCACATACATAGTTGGAATTGAAACATGAATTCTCGCAACTTCAAAATGTTATGGCCATGAACAGGGAGCATATATATTACCATTCATTGGCATATTTTGGACTAATGTCATATTTTTTCTCCTGCAGTTTCAGTGGTTATGTTTTCAACATTTGAGCACACAGTGGATTTCATGTACAAAAAGATAATCCAGAGAAGGAAGGAAGAATGCTCTAGAATGCAACAACTTGGGGTGACATGTTTAGCAGGATATGCTGCCGGATCTATAGGTAGTATTGTTTCTAATCCGGCTGACAACATCGTTGCGTCCCTTTATAACAAGAAGGCTTTGACCCTGAAGTTGGTAACCCCCTTTTTCCTCTTATTTTCTTAATAAATATTACATATATTTTCTGCTTATGTCTGCATCTTCTTTGAGCTTATGTTTTTTATGTTGTTTCCAGGCTGTGAAAAATATTGGTCTTGTTAATTTATTTACACGAAGTCTTCCTATAAGAATAATGCTGGTTGGGCCCTCCCTAACTTTGCAGTGGTTGTTCTATGATACGATTAAAGTTTTAAGCGGGTGGTAAGACTAAGAACTACTCCCTCCATGCCTTATGAAACTTCAAACTTTCCTTTGGATGTCCCTAAATGAAGTGCTCTTTCCCTATTTGCTAGACAAATTTATATAGAAAAACTGTGCCAAATTTACCCCTTTTGTGAAACTAGAAAGGGACATTTCAGGAAGTAAAAAAGTAAAAAATTATTTCCTAAAAATGTGTGCAATTCAAACCAGGAAGATTAAATAGGGACAGAGAGTATATTTTAAGCGATTTGTGACACATTCTTGAACTGTAAATAACTCTAAAGCATTTATACACCAACAATACAGGCCGACAAGTGGGCACATAAGCTCTAGTACTAGCGAGATAAATCATGTGTTGAAGTGATATGAAATGAAGTCTCGCTGCAGCTACTGATGTTGATCGCGAAGTTAATGAAATTACATAATCATATCAGAAGATTGCGTGTGGTTCTCTGTAGAAAAATTGTATTTGGATATTTTCTTGCATTTTTGGGATGTGGATCCATTTTTCTTGGCTGTGCTGTGATTGTTGTAGAGCCACTTGGTCTCTGAACTTTTATGCCAAAGTTCAGGACATGATTATGGTGGATAGGAATATTGGTAGAGCATTTGAACATACTGGTTTTATATGCCGCAATAAGAGGATGACTCTCCTCTCCTGGGCTGCTGCTGCTTGTGTCATTTATCTCATTCATAGAAAGATATAAACAAAGATCTGTAACACTGACATATATGAGTAATATGACAATTGAAAGTGTTAACATTTTTTGCATTGTAAGATGATTCAGTTCATGTAGTCAAACAATTTAATACTTCGATATTTGGTAGTTGAAAATGGGACGGACAAGTACTACTCCCTCCGGTTTTTAATAAACTTCACACTTTCCTCTTTGGGACGGTCTAAAATAAACTTCACACTTCCTTATTTCCTTTTTTGGCAAAGAAATCTACATCAAAACAGTGTCAAACAATGTCTCAACAGTGCCAAACAGTGTCTCAACAGTGACAAACAGTGCCTCAACAGTGTACTCTACAGTAAAGTCAAATTTCTTTCCTTATTTTGTGTGAAGTCAAAGTGTGAAGATTAAATAAAACCGGAGGGAGTATTATATTTTGACCTGAATCTCATTAGACAATTTTGTGTCTTCATAGTTACACAATGTTGTGAAGTGTGAACAAAAGTAGAGATCTGAGGGCAGTAAATGTTTAAAAAACTACATTAAAATCTCTAAATCATTATCTTTTCAGTATCTGCTTGCGAGTTTCATTTCCTTAGATTAGCTCAAAGAGTGGAGGCTGAAAGTGCTTTAAAACAAAAGGAATTTCAAAAACTTGTGCGAAATGCATGTTTACCTACTCAATGCTTTATGGAATTGAATTATAAAAGGGGTTAGGACATGAATATTACTAATAAATAACAAATGGACAAAAAAAGTGACCTTTTTTTAAGTTTCCAAAAAGAGACTAAAAAGAGACAAAGTGACTGTTTCACCCTTACTACTTACTAGTATAATTCCGTTCCTAAACAAAGTTGCGGATAAAGGTGTTTAGTGGGTTGGGCCGTTGGGGTCTAGGCTATGCGTCACAAAAGCTCAGACTATTTTGACGACTTGCTTTCCTCACACATGCTTGATCCTTCTATGATATATCATATATGCCTCTCTCTTTGCCTCTCTCTCTTACATCCTTGGCAGAGATGCAAGACATGATTAGCATAATCACTCAAGAGCATGTGGGCTTCAACTTTGGGACACGGTGAATGAAATGAATACAATCCGCCACACGGCAATGACCAACATTCACAGTGATCACCATCAATGACTTGTCGATCATAGTAATCACCGCGACTAACGGCTTAGTGACCAATATTATAGTGACCAACGTTGTAGTGACTAACGTCATAGTGACTGACATTATAGTTACCACTATGCCAATGACACATCAATAATAGTGACCATTGTGCCAGTGACACACCACTGATAGTGACCAATATTATAGTGACCACTGCATTAATGACACACCACCGATAGTGAGTAGTGACCAACGTACATTATAGTGACTATTGCGCCAGTGAACACCATTGATAGTGACCACGATGCCAGTGACTAACGTCATAGTGACCACTGCGCTAGTGACACACCACTGATAATCGCCACAGTGACCTAACCCCTAACATTCCAGTGACCTACCACAAACTCATTCATTTTGAATTCTAACAAGATACAAACACTTATTACGGAACTGAAAATTAAAGTTAATTTTTGTCTAGGGCCTCCAAAGTTCTTAAGACACCTCTGCCCAAGTTGTAAGATGTTGTAGTCCTAAATGCTTGTCTCACACTAATATTTCGGCTAGCAGATGATTGATGGTGTGCTTGGGATTGAGGCATGGAAATTTGACTAGAACTAGAATGGGTTCCCCAAGGCAATTGAGATTCCATTACTACATCAACAAAGTTGCAATGAACTTAAAATTGAGTGTCTGATAAGTTCACAATCAGTACAATAAGTAATCAACAAACGTCCTGTGAAGGGATTTATCAGACGGAGCAAACACATGTAAAAAAGAAAGCACATTTGAGCCTCATTGAACATGTATTTTATGAAATTACAATGAAAGCCACCTGATTACTCCTATTTTTTATTTCACTTTGAACACTGTCATGCATGATAAACTTTTCAACGTGACTGCAATATAATTGCTGGGTACGATAAGATTTTGACCAAATTAGCCTTAAAATGATGTGTTAAATATACCATTAAATGCTGCAATAAGCAAAGTCTGCAGAAGGTTGAGTATAACAATACATTATTATAACAATAAGCAATAAGCATTTAATATATTGTTATATAAGTCTGCAATAAGAATTTATTTATATATGTTATAAGTTCCTAAGCAATAAGCAAAGAAAATAGCATAAGTATTGTTATATTGCAGACTCCGTAAAACAAATTAGCCTTAGTGATTTTTTTTCTATGACTTAGATTATTTTTCATCTGAGTAAGTTGTCTTGACTTATAAACATTCTTTAAACAGTATATATGCACCATATTTGAATCAAGTCCAAACAATCAGTACAATAAGTATATACTTAGTTGTTTTTTCTATGACTTATTAAAATGAAGAAACAACCACTAAAATATATAAACAATCACTAATAAGCAAAGTCTGCAAAACCTGATCCAAACAATCAAAGTCCAATTGCATAAATAAGTTGTCATAGAAAAGTCATGACAAACATAAGCAGTATATATGCACCATATTTGAATCAAGTACTGCATATTTCGCTCAGTATGAACTTTCTTCATTGTTCTTTCAAAAAATAAACTTCCTTTCTTCATTTTATCATCTTAGTTCAAAGACTCTAGCTATGATGTAATTATAATTTTGAAAATAGCTCAAATTATAAGTATGACAGCAACTGGAATTTGCATTTGCTGGACTGAAGCAAAACTTTTGCACTCACCAAACATAGGTGTGTTTGGCATGATATTGGTTTTTATATAACCAGTATATAAGCAGTATATAAATTATTACTTTAATTGAAAACATTTTTTGTCAAGTACCATAGACCATAACAATGTGCTCATTGCAAAAACATGAACCTACTTATCAATATCAATATAATAATAGTAAATAACAATAAAAACTTAATCTGTTGTAGACATTCCACATTGAAAATGTAGCATTTCAATTTAAAATCTCATAGACATTTTTACAAACATGTTGTAGTCTTTATTATGAAACTGAAAATCAGTAAAAAAATTCACAAACCACTCCCATAATTTCATACAAATAATTGAGCAAATCCTGGAACAAATTATTAATATACATACATACACTGATACTTGTATCCTAAGTTGTTTCAGTGTAAATATGACTAAATGTGACTTCCTAACTAGCTGACCGAAACTATAGGGAAATGGTGGAATTTTAGGGATTTCATCTCTATATAAAAGAACTATAGAGAAAGGGATGAATTTTAAGGATTTCATCTCTACATAAAAGAGGCCATTTTCATAGATTGTGTAAAAACATAGTTCTAACCTGAGGAAGAGAGGCGATTCATTGAAGATCCGTGAGAGTTGAGGATGGAACGAACAAATGGCGCCGACAAAATATCTCGGCTTCAATTCGTTCGAATGGCGCAGATGGGGTAGATGGGGAAGATGGAACGAGCGTTCAGTCCGAGCTATGGGGTGGATAGTCATAATTATTTCAGAGGGTTACTTTGGGTGGTTTACAAATTTATTTGCTATTATCAGTAGCCATAAAGTTGGAGTTAATTACAAGTTTACCTAGAAGCACTTATACTTAATGGCTACTGATAAAAAACACTTGTAAACCCCCCAAAGTAAAAAGTGTTTGTACTGAAAAAGCTTTAAAAAAAGTGTTTGGTTGTTCCAGCTTTTGATTAAAAAAAATGCCTTCCAATGGGGAGTAGAGTCTGAAACAACTTTTGTTCAATTAAAAGAAGCTAGACACAAGCACCTGTACTGGTTCTGCCTGATTTTAAAATCCTCTTTGTAGTAGAGACTAGAGACATATAATTCTGACATTGGGATTGGTGTTGTGCTTTCTCAGAATAAGCACCCCATTGCTTTTTTGAGTAAAGCTTTAGCCGATAAACATAAGGCTTATTCTACTCATGAGAAGGAATTGTGGGCAGTGATCCTTGCAGTAGAAAAGTGGAGAGCATATCTAACTGGCCAACACTTCATCATTCAAACTGACCACTTCAGTTTGAAATATTGGCTTGAGCAGAAAATTACTACCCCTTTTCAGAGCAAGTCCTTACCTAAACTGATGGGGTTGAACTATGAGATTGTCTACAGGAAGGGTAAGGAGAACATGGCAGCAGATGCACTATCTAGAGTGGACACTGGTGCATTACTAAATATGATGATCACTGAGATCAGTTCTGACTTAATGAAGAAGATAGAACTCAGTTGGACCATAGGAGATTCTCGTGAAGTCATTAACAAGCTGAAGGCAAGAAATGTTATCAAAGAGAAGTACACGTGGAAGGATGTGAAACTGATTAGAAAGGACAAATTTGTGGTGAGAAATGATGAGAATTCAAGGAAGGAAATTATAGATGAAGTACATGAATTTGCCATTGGATGTCATTCAGGAATCCAAGCAACTTACCAAAGACTCAAAACATTCTTTTATTGGAAGAAGATGAAAAAAAATGTTAAAGAATGAGTGATGACTTGCAGCACTTGTCAGAAAAATAAACCCCTCTTATTGAAACCTGCATGCTCATTACAACCTCTACCTATTCGTGAAACCATATGGAGAGACATTTCCATGGATTTCATAGAGTGACTCCCTAAATCTCAGAATAAAGATACCATACTTGTAGTGGTTGATAGATTATAAGCAAGTATGTCCATTTTATCCTACTTAGCCATCCTTATCATGTCAGCACTGTGGAAAGGAATACCTTGATAATGTCTTTAAACTACATGGCCTGCCCCAATCCATTGTGAGTGATAGAGACAAGGTATTCATCAACAAGCTTTGGCAAGAGTTGTTCAGAATGTTGAAGGTAGAACTTAAGCTATTCACAGTTTATCATACCCAAACGGATGGCCAGTCTGAGAGTGTCAATAAGTGCCTTGAGACTTACTTAAGATGCATGACAGGAGAGCATCCAAAAGAATGGGCAAATGGATTCCAATTGCAGAATGGTGGTATAACACCAACTTCCACTCATCCATAAACACTACCCCTTTTGAGGTAGTATATGGTCAGTCTCCAACTAACCATTCTCCTATTGCTATGGGTATTAGCTCAGTAGAAGCTGTAGACATAACTCTAAAAGCAAGGAAGGAATGTATCAAATTGCTGAAATTTCATTTAAAAGAGCCCAAGACCGCATGGAAACTCAAGCAGATCAACATAGAACTGATTGGGAACTTCAAGGTGGAGAATGGGTCTATGTTAAATTGCAGCGTTATAGGCAACAATCTGTAACAAGGAGGATGAATGTGAAGCTAGGCCCCAATTGTTTTGGCCCTTTTGAAGTAATAAAGAAACTGGGACAGGTAGCCTACAAAGTTAAACTACCTGATGAAGTTAGGATTCATCTATTGTTTTACATTTCCCAGCTCAAGAAACATAAGGGTGATATCCCTACACAAATAACCATGCCTCAAGTAGATGATCAGGGAGTTATAAGAGTTGAACCTATGTTGGTGTTGGAAAGGAAGATTGCAAAGAAAGGGAATAGAGCTGCAGTTTATTGGCTTATTTAGTGGTCAAACGGGGAGAAAGAAGATGCAACATGGGAGTCCTATACAGAGTTGACAAATAGGTTTCCAGAGTTTGTGGAAAGAAACCTGTCAGCTTGAGGACAAGCTTAAGGGGGATGGATTGTTATGAGCTTGGATGGAATCTGGCCACGTCAGCTTGTTACTCCACGTTGTGAAACCATGCGGGCACACACGTGATCACAAGTAGTTAACTTTAACGAGTTAGTTAGCTATTAGCTAGTCGGTTATGGAAGTTGTTGAACTACTTTGCACAAATAAGTGTACATGGACTGATATGAAAGGCATGAAATGATTTCACTGATCAATTGTGTTCTTCTTTACTCTGTTCATCTCATTATGTTTGAATTCTATTCATCTTCTAGAATTCCTACTTCTCAGTTTTAGTTCTTCGTTTTTCTAGTCTAGACTATTACAACGCCAGATGCCTCCTCGCTGGCCGGTCGCCCCCTTTCCGCGATTCGATGGTTAATTTGAAAGTCAGGGAAGGTACTCTGTTGATGCTTCAATTCGACCGGTGCTCTGTGAGACCTCCAAGCCACTTTCAGATCCCAACTTAAATTCGGTCGGAGATCCAAGTCGGTGGCAGAGAAGAGGAGGGTGAAGTGAGGCCGGGAAAATGCTAGCAGAGGACTTGGGGATAGAAGAAATGTGGGAAAGGAAGAAAGAAATCAAGAAAGAAAAAAGGAGAAGAAGTTGCTGATGTTAGTCAATGGGAAGAAGAAGGAGAACGGAAATAAAAGAGCTGAGGAAAGAAAAAGGAAAAGAAAATGAAAGGAAAAATAAAAAAATTGCCACATCAGACGCCACATACTCAATTTGATCTGGAACCGGAAGGAACCTATTAAAAAGTGGATTTGATTCTTTTTTAAGTGTTTGTGGGTTTGATTGGATGTTAATTTAGTTGGGAGGGGGGGAGTATGAGGGATGGAGGGACAATTTTAGTGGAATTTTCCGAAAAGGTAAAACGGGACAATATGAGGGGATGGAGGGAGTATAACATTTTCAGGGAATCCAACGTTCATGTCCATTATAACGTTATTAACGAACAACAATTCGTCCCTATAAATGGCTGACAGGTGGTTTACAACAAACACAACACACAACTCGTTCTTCACGTTGTTTTCAGGTCAAATACACCCTAGCATTCTGCAAACTTCCTTAGTGTTCATGTTGTGTTTCCGTTCGCCGGAACAATTCGTTTGAGTGCTCAACGATTGTTCGTAGCCATTGTATCCTCGGAAACGATCGTTGCACCACGCTCCTAGCACCTAGGGAGGCAACATATACGTTTTAAGAACATTGTGTGTAGCACGAGCTTTGACCGATTTCTGCTCCATCTCTTTTCTGTTTTTCTTTACTCAATTTAATTAATTTTATTAATTAATTAATTTTTTGTTTTTGTTTTTCGAGACACACCCAACATCTTCCACCTCGAACCATCTTCTGCCGCATTGGTTTTCTTTAAGGATAATGCAAGCTCATCTATGTGTAGCCTAAAGGGGAAAGAGATCTTTAGTTTCAAGTACATATATGCCCCTACCGTTCTGAAAGATACAAAAGCGTCTCTAAAGTTCATATTTAAGAGCAAATTTATCCTTGTTAATTTAAATAAATAAAAGGTTATATTTAAAAATATCAAAACAAATCAATAAACATATTCAGTGTGGAGATTGAAAAATTAAAAAATTAAAAATATTCAACTTTGTTTACACGCTTCCTTTTAGTATTTTACATCAGTTTATTATTGTTTACCCAAATGAAATATTTTAAACTTTAACATATAATTATGGTTTTTGCCCCGTAGTACTAAAAGAATTGTTAAAAATTAAAATATTAAAAAATAAATTTGTATTCATTGTTCCTTTTATGTTAATAATACTCCGTATTAAATTTTGATATAAAAATAATGAAGATCATTTGAACACAAAATAGTCTTTTTTTTTTCATTTTCTAAACCCATATTTTATAAACACAAGTAATCCAAAGTAGAAGAAAGGAGAAAACAGGTAAAACGATTAACACAATTATATTACCTTCGTCTCGTCCGACTTTGCCAACTTAGAAGCAGATGAAAAATAAGAAAAGTGAAAATTGTGTGATTGAAGTTTGTATAAAGGAAAGAGATCTCAATAAAACTACAAATTGGCTACTTTAATAAGAAAATACCAAAATAAATTTGGGCAACCAATATGTTTTGACAAATTCTAATGAAACGGAAGGAAAAATATTTATACCCGTAGTTTTATTTACATTCTGCGTGCTTCCAAAACATTATAAACATTAATTTATGCTTTTCTTACTTATAATTTAATGATTTATTACTCTGTATATAACTCTATATTCGTTTTTCAAAGCATTTATATAATTTTATGAAATTTTAAGAAATAATTACATGATTATGACTAAAATGCAGACAATTTACAAAAATGTGATTAGTGACTAGAGTAGTAATGAAATCATAGTAACTTATATTCAATTTTTAAACTTAAGTTACTATGACATCACATTGTAGTAACTAATAATCATATTTATGTAATTAAATTTTATTTAAGTAATATTTTTGTAAAAACCCCAAATTTTAATGTAAACAAGCGGTAGAACATTTTTTATTAAATTTTGTTTCGTGTTATCGTAGAGGTAAAAATCAAATAATATGACGATTTTGGAGACGGTTGATTGGAATAAGTAGACCCACTCCAAAAATAAAAAATCCCCCGAATACATGAATTTTAAGGCCCAAATATTTTAAAGATGAAATCCGTCCAACTTGATCAGCCCAAAACTCTTCTTCCGCTCATCGACAGTTTGACACCATCATCCTCATCTTCAGTCTTCTTTCATCGTCACCATGGCTCACTGTAGGGAGTAGCAGCTGGCAATCGCCGCCCACAGCGTAGTCCTCCGCTGCACGGTCCTCCAGAATATTAGACGATTGGTGAGTCCTCACACCATTAGCTTTATTAATTGTTTGATTTCTATCCAACTGATTTGTATTAGGCAAATCCAACATTTTAAACTTTTTACGTCTCAGACTTCAATTGAAGTCTCCAGACTTCAATTCGGCGCCCCTGTCTGCTACATTACCTACATACTTCGAAAGTTTTGACTGTTTGTTTTAAGCTTATACATTCACCTTTTTTTAATTAATATTTTTAGCTTTTAGTGTTTTGCTATGAACATGATTTAGTGATGGTGCATAATTTTTGTGTGTGTTTTAATCTTTATCTTCTATCTCCTTCCCTGGTCAGCTAGGCACACTAAGAGCCCGTTTGGAGAACTCTGTTTTCGGCTTATCAGGCTTATCAGCCAGCTTTTTCACCAAACACATAACTTTTACTTTCGCGCGCTGAATTGTGTAATAAGCCGAAAAAGTAAGGTTGGAGTTACTTTTCTGGCTGTATTGGCTGAAGTTACTGTAGAGGACCATTTTAGCTATTTTTACATATAATTTTTTCTTTAATTTATTAATAAAATATATTTTTAAAATATTTTTTTCTTAAATCAGCAGAATCAGCCAAAACAGCCACTCCAGCCAGAATATCATAAATTTCAGCAGAATCAGCCAAAACAGCCGATTTTGGTGCTACCAAACGGGCTCTAAGGCTAAGGGCATGTTTACTTTTGACTTAATGAGCTTAATGGAAATCTGGACTTATTCTCTCAGCCATATAGCGTTGTTTACTTGTGACTTATTGAAAATCATGACTTATTGGATCAGACATTTTAGGACTTAATGGCTCAGCCCAAATTTGATACTCCTTAGCATTCAGACCTAACTTTACACCCCTATTCTCTTTTATAACCTTCGCGACTCACCAATCGGACATGCTCTAAGCTTTGTGCTTGAAACCCATATACAAGATTGAATGAAAGTCTCTGCCTTGTCTCGATTATAAATTTCTACATCTTTGAGGTACACTGCCCGATCATGTACTGATTCTCTTCATTGTCTTTGTAAATTTGAAGCAAAACCTGAAGATCTTGTTCTACTGAGAATTCTGTTTAATTCTATATCTGGGTGTTAATTATTTTGTAATTTCTGCATTCACATTACGAATCCGTTCGAATTTGATACGGCTTCACCTGAGCTGCTTAAAGTTTCAATTTTTAAAATAAGCTTTGTGCCTTGTTCGGATAGAGCTTTAGGAAAGATTCAGGCAAGGTGACACTTGCCGACAGAATGTCCTGGAATGCATTACAAATAAATGGGTTATTAGGCTTTTTTGGTGGGTTCTTGGATTTATTACAGCATACTTCAATTATTTTTCCAACTCGATCCTAAATTAAAATTTGCTTTTTCATAATAGGCAGAAGGATAAATTGGTAAAATGACTTAAGACAGACTATACATTCAGTACACATAGTAAACAACTTGTTATACAAGTGTCACTTATTCCAGACAGACGTCTTAATACAGACAGACGTCTTAATACTTTGTATTTTTCAATACAAACAGGCCCTAAGTGATAGAGTCAGGACGAAAGAATCCATATAGACATATAGTACTCATAGTCAGTTAAGCCAGAGTGACTTTCGTTTACAGGACACCACATGGGAGGAAGAAGGGAAGAGCTAGTCTTTCGACGCAAGTCACGCAACTTTTTTTTTTCTTCTTCTTATGATATTTCTAGTGAGAGAGAATCAATTCAATTCCTATGATATTTCTAGTCAGACTTCATGTTGTTTTAGCTGTTGTTATTATTAATCTACTAGTATTGATGTATTTTGTGAGTATTAATAGCATTCTTAGTATTAATGTGATTTGTGATTGTTTATCTCATATTCTCATTATTTAGTATTAATTAATCATATATTTCCATTAGTTGTTATTATTTATTTCATTATATTGTATTTGATATTAATATAATTATCGTTAATGATAAATCCAGCAATCGAATAAGTGATAAGTGACTCAATAATGATAGGCTTCTAGTATACGTAGAAAAAGTATATCTTCATGAACCCTAAAAATGATGTCATTCTCAAGCTATATAATCTCTAAAACTGTAGCGAACAATTGTGATTCTGCGAATTTGTGATTTCTTTTTGTAATTGACTTTGATGAAAACTCTTATCCATGTAAACCTTTACATATTTATTATTTTACAATACTATTTATGTTGCAATTGAAGTTAGTACACACACACAGACTAAATTTTGTCCCTCAGTGGACTAAAATGCTAGATCCATTGTGCCTGACAAGTGATTTCTCCACAGGTTTTGCGTTTCTGTGCCTCACTGGTTCAGATTAGACATGAATTCCAGTTTTACTAACACATTCATTTATATCCTTTTGCAATTCTGATTTGGTTGAACTATGAAATTGAACCTTCATTCCAATTCAGCAATGCTTATCTTTTTTGTTCTGCAGAAACCCTAAAACAATGAGAATAGCTTTTACTTTCTGCTCGCGCAATCTCCACCACCTATGTCACACTATCAAACACCGTAATCACATTAGCTCAAGCACCAATGGTGTTATCAACTCTCAGCTTCAAAATTCTTTTGCTTCCAAGCTAAGGTTTTTCTCATCGGCTGAAAATGAAAGCCCTGGGAAGCTTGAACTTGCTTCCCAGCCTGAAGAAACCAGCTTAGCTCTACCAAAGAAAACTCAGCTACCACTTGAGGTTGAAGATGTCAGCAATACAGGTTTGGACTTGTTCTCAGAAAGTATTTCGTCTTTTTGCTATATCATATTTTGAACTTTTATATTTTTGATAGATCACAAATTCTTGAGTTCTCAAAAAAGTAGTGCTTACTACTCTGTATTATATTGTAGTGAAGTAAAATTTTTCCTGTTTGCTGTTATAGAGTATATTATATATAGAGATTTAGAATTTGTAGTTGAGGGAGTTATATATTTTATCGTTGAAACAGTGGGAAAAATATCGTTGAAACAATGGTTTTTAAACTTAGTAGTTGACTCATTGTAGGAAGAAATACAACCAATCCACTTTTTCACGTCACTTTCACTTCTTATTCTATATTTTCAGAGCTGAAAGGGTTGCTGCAAGACTACTTCAGCAATGACAAAAATGATGTACTCCCCAATATCATTGAAGCCATTATGAAGAGGAAATTACACGGAAAGCATGATGACACTGATGATGAGTTATTGGAAGATTTCCGAATGAACCGACTGGAACCTGTTGATAATGTTAATGATGAAGAATTTGAAGAAGATTTTGAAGAAGCCCATTCAACAGATGAAGATATTGATAACTTGTATGATGCAACAAATATTGTGACGAACAGAATGGGACAAGATGAGTATTTCAACATGGATGAAAGAAAATGGGATGATATGATTAGAGAGGCTGTTGCACATGGACATCTCAAGGATACCAAGGAGTGTGAAGAAATCTTAGAGGACATGCTTCACTGGAATAAGCTTCTACCTGGTACTCTAAATTATTGTTATCCAAAACAACAAATTAGAAATATTAGGTTGGGTGTATTTGACTTCTCGAAAGTGCTGATTAAATGGTTACAGTTAATCATTTTTTACTTCAAGAACGACACTACCTCACAGACTCACCATAGGTGGGAGCCTTTGCGGCACTGGGGTAAATGAAAATGATAAATGAAAATGATGATTCCCAACTACTGAAATAGAAGAACACATTTTATATGCTGACTTATAGGATGGATGTGTCATGTGTGTGCTCTAGGTCTGCTATTGCAGGATTTGCAGCCATTGCAATCCTGGAGCTGTCAAATTGGACAATAGGTCTGCTTTATGAGCTTTAGGGTAGACTATATATTTCTGCATCTTCACTGAGAAACTCATGCATAGTCACAAACTCCTAGTAGGGTAGTTTGTACTTTGTAATTAGTGAGTGTGACATTCTATTATTGAAACACTACCCCTTTCATTATATAATATTATAATATATCTGTAACTTCTTTAATTTTTTCCAAATCACAAATAAACTTGCAGCGCCAGAAGTCAACCCCTCTGTGCTGTGCTGTACTGATGGGTGGTACCTCCGTGGTGGGTGTTTGTGTTTCTGACTCCCACTATTGGGGGGGAGAGTTGCTCAAGTTGCTCAAGTTGATATTTAGTTCAAGGCAAAGGTAAAATTAGTAAAACAAATGAAACAATAAAGTATAGAAGGATTGCAGCCTTAAGTAATATTCTAGTCAGTTGTTATATACAAGATCATCTGTTACCATTTTAGCTGACTGAAATGCTGACTTAGAAGTATATATTAAGACACTTCACTTAGTTTGTTTTGCTCTGCCTCTAAATAATGAAATAATGTATGCTAGAATTTATTTGTTGATCATAAGCTTTTCAAAAATCCTTTATGCTGTCTTATTAAATGGGAAACTTTACCAAAGACCAAAGTATACAAGAGTTTTTCCATACAAAGGAGGAAATGAGGAATGCTCTCCCCCCCAAATAGTACATAGTAGTAAAATGTTGTCACCCTGAAATTGTACTGCCATATTATGGCATAATCAGACATGGCAATACCTACTCCTATTTAGTGGGAAAATATAGTACTCATATTTTGGGAAAACATCTTGCTTTAGTCCTATTTAGGGCAATTTCGTTTATTAAATCTTGTCAGATCACTTCAAGGACAATTATATTTGCTGTAGTGTTTTCTTTTTTCTGTCAGTACCATCGAATAGCATAATCTAGGGTCCCATTAAGGGTGGCAGCGAGTTGATAGTTTTTTGTTGAGTGATTTTAAATTAAAGTTGCACGACACATGTTACAATAAAGCGATACTACTCATGCATATAGTAATCATGTTAATTTCATTAACTCTAAACAAAAAATTGAAAACTACTTTTTCTTGTTTCCATAATGCCAAGTACAATTTTTTTTAGTTTATCTTACAAACAATTGAAAACTAATTCCGCCCTGAATGTGGCCTAAATTTCCTTTCATTTTCTCTTTTCCACCAAAATACTTTCGGGTCTTCATTTTTTGTTTAATTATAGGTTATTGCCCCAAAACTCTATGATACATTGGTTTTAATCTTTTCTTTTTTTTTTACAGATGAGATTAAGATGAAGGTTGCTGAAAGGCTTGATGAGATATCTGACATGGTTGAAAAAGGTGAGCTTGAAGCTGAAGAAGGTTATAAATTGTACAAGGAGTTTGAGGATCAAATGGTTCTAGAATGTACTAAACATGCGGAGAAGGAGACTCTGCAATTTGATGGGTCTTCCATTGCTGATACGAGAAAGGATGTGGATGACCCACCTGGGGAGGGGCCAATTCTTAGGTGGCAAACTAGGGCAGTTTTTGCTCCAGGTGGTGATGCATGGCACCCAAAGAACAGAAAGGTGAAATTGGCTGTCACAGTCAAGGAGCTTGGTCTTTCCAAGCATCAGTTTCGCCGCTTGAGAGAATTGGTTGGAAAACGTTACCATCCTGGTAGAGATCAACTTACTATCACGAGTGAAAGGTTGGGTGTATATGTCAACTTTGTCAATTATTAAGTCTATTATGTGATTGTCTTGGTGTTGGTAGTGGCATCTCATTGTTAACCCGGGTTTTGGCTCTCTAGAGATGCACTTGGCTGTTTAAGTTTTAAAGAAATTGCTCTAAATAGGAGTAAAAACGTTTTGAAATTCCAAAATAGGAGCACTATGTTTTTATTTCCTAAATATAGAATAATTATAGTTATGCTTCGGAAATGCTGCGAATTATGGCAGCATACTGCTGTATTTAAAGCATGGTAATTCAGAAATATGGTACTAAATGTTCAGGATGATTGTAACACACATATTTCGGGGAAAACATAAACTCCTTTTTTGGAATTTACAATGTTTTTACACCTGTTTTGAGAATTTCTCCCAAGTCTTACTATATGCTCCATTCGTCCTATAGTTTTTCTTCCCATTTTCCCTTTTGATGCCCCAAAAATTTCTTCCCATTTTTGAATTGGCACGCTCATTAATGATGAAGAAGTTGAAGGTTGTGAGATGAAAACAAGTATCTGCATGTTTGAAAAACAAGTTTCATTCTTCAATATGGCCTTGATTTTTGCACCTTGTTTTTGAGGACTTGGGTGGTTTTATCAGGTTTGAGGATCGTGAGGAGAACAGAAAAGATTGCCTTAGGACTCTATTATCCTTAATTGAGGAGGCTGGCAAAGCAAATAAATTAGTAGCGGATGCTCGTGCTGCATATGTGAAACAGAGACTGAAAATGAATCCACAATTCATGGCGAGATTGCATGCAAAGACTTCTATGATGAAATCTACCTTTTAATATGCACGACACATCAAAAGGTAAATACTACCGAGTATAATACATTTTGTCTTTGTAGTCACAAAATTCAAGCATACTTTTCAAGCTTTTCACAAAATGCAAGGTCCACTTGAGTTTTCCTGGTGTATATGTTCATTTGGTGTTTATGGCTGGCTTTTATGATTTTAGAAGATATTTTTATAAGAAATCCTTCTACATATTTAAAAGCAGTAGTTTATGGAATTCATATTTCCGCTCAAGTGCCCAAAGAATCACTGTCATACGATTAAAAGCGATCTGAAGCACCTCAACATTAACATTTCAGAGCCATCCCCACTTTCTCTTAATTGATCGGTCTAGAACAAAACCTTTTGTTCAGATTCATATCTACGCAACCCTACCATCCATCCCAATCTTCTTTATTCATACATCTAATCCCCGAAATTAGGGCAGAGGGCCATGAAAATCAACATCACCATCAGAAAGGCAGATGCTTTCCTTTATCCTTCTGGAAGTACACCACCATCAAAGTTCTTTCACCTCTTTGCTTAAAATCTCTCAATAAGGTAATTTATTTCTTCCTAATTTAGTTTCAGATTACTAAAATTTCAGCTCCAGGTTTCTTACAATTCATTGATGTACTAACTTTAGTCTGAATTATGTTTTTACTGATTCTTTCAGTTTGTATAAAAGATATTTGATGCTCTTCTTTCTTTTCATATGGACAGTCATCCTTTTTCTTGGCTTAAAATATATTTTTGGAAAGGTGAATTCATCTTTTCTTGCTGTGATTTTTGCAACAAGGTAAATTCAGCATTCCTAATTGAGCTCATATTATTTTTAGTTTACAAAAAGAATCCTCATAATTTTAAAAAAACTTTTAAAAACTAAGTTCATGCCACCACATACAAATATTATGCTTCACTTACTGACTTACCTGGGCTATTAAATGATGCACGTAATTTAGTGATCGATTGCATTATTGAATAGGCATTTTTTATTTAGTGAATAATAATGGAGATGAGGGAATTCAAAATACTGTTTATGATAACCACATAATAATGTTACATGAAGTGATTTATTTCTTATATGAGCATGAACAATTTTTGATAGATCTTCTGCACTAATTAATAACCTTAAAACTTTGATAAGAATGAATCCACATTAAAATTTAAGAGTTTCATGGATGGGTTGGTGGTAATTTAAATCATTTTGCTTTTCATTTAAATCAAGGACTATGGACAATTTAAGCAGCTAGATTTCCCAGAAAATTTTCCAGTTTGTTTTTATTTAATTTCCAGAAACCAGATGCACTGTTTCCTCTATTTTCTATTCAATATCCACGAAAATAAAACTCTTATTGAATTAATCTTAAATTCTCATTATTATGAATATTACGGAGTACTATTTTTATATGTATTTTTCTACTTTATGTATTTCAAGGTCTGTAACACTAGGCATATTTCAATGGCTAAAGGGTCAAATAGGCCTTGAACTAAGTGTTCAATTAGCCCCTTATATAGAAGGTTCTGCCCGGCTGTCGTCAATTGAGGCGGTTCCCGGTGCATTTTTTTGATGAAATTTTTTGAGCATCTTCTTCATTAAGTCTAGTTTACCCATACCAAATTTCAGCTAAAAATTCAACCGGGAAGGCAATCAAATGATTTTTTGAAGATAACTGCGTAGTTAAACAACGCAGTACATTTCGGAAAATCATTTGACTGCCTTCCCGATTTAATTTTTAGCTGAAATTTGATATGGGTAAACTAGACTTAACGAAGAAGATGCTCAAAAAATTTCATCAAAAAATTCCACCGGGAACCTCTCCAATTGGCGATGGCCGGGCTGAACCTCTTATATAAGGGGCTAATTGAACACTTTAAGTTAGTTCTAGGGCCTATTTGACCCTTTAGCCTATTTCAATTTATGTAGCTCTCTTGATTTGAAATCGTAACTTCTCGATAGGTATTATTATCTTTTGCTTTCACTTCATGAGATTTCATTGAGCTTATTCAGTAGATGCAAGTAGGAGTGCATGTGACCCAAGAACATGTTTTCTCTCTTTTATTATAGCTTTCCATAACCCAACATTTTTCAGCATATATTTCCCTCTGTAATTTTTGAAAACATTATATATGGCTGGCACACTAATCACTATTACCATGAGCTAGCCCATGTTTACCCATCTTTCCCTCATATCACATGTTCGTATATGTATTTGTGCGTGCTTCTCTTTTCCAATGCTGCATCTGTATCCAACTGACTACCAGTCTGCTTTCTCTTCCCTTCAATCTCTGGCTTTATTCTTCCTCCAAGTCTGCCACCTCAGCTATTCTGTTACTACCTCCGTCCCAATTTGGTTTGCAAATTTGACTTTTTTTTGTCAAACAGTTTCATTTTATTCGCTTGATTAGGATGTCAATTTTTAATTATATGTAAATTGAAAATGAAAATTGAATTAATTATCAATAGAGTGGATTGACTTTTATTATTGGTTGATAAAAAAATGCTGACTTTGCAAAACAATTTGGGATGGATGGAGTATTTTATTCCCTCTACTTTCAGCTGCCTCATTTACCTTTTTGCCTCTTCTTTTAGACTATTGGGAAGCCCCTATTATAATTAATATCAGGGATGCCCTAACTATCTGATACTCTATCAGATAACAATTCTAATTTTCTATACCTTTGTAATATTAAGCTCAGGAGAGATGTGTGTGGCATGATGAAGCAACAAAACTCAGCAATTTAGCATTATCTTAAAAGTCACTTTGAAAGTGTTGTTACTAAAAGTCACTTTTTAGCTTTTTAAATATTTTCAAATTTAAATATTTTGGGTTGTGTGATTTTGATAATTTGATATTGATATGATTTCAGCTATGTGTGCATAATTAAGTCATCATTTTCATATCACAACAAGGTGGACTGAAAGCAATACACATTTTTTTATAGTTCACAGGTCCTTTTTACTTGGAGTTTTTGTCACTTTTGATCCTTCGACTACTGTGTCTGACGCTTTTTTATACTCGACTTTCACTTTTTCCATTTTTAGTCATCCACTATTGTGCGAGAGACACTCTTAGTCCTCGTCTCCTCGACTTCGAAGTTTCTCACATTTAGTCTCCTGAATATGATCAAATTGACATTTTTAGTCCTTTCACTATAATTTTGACATATTAAGTGAAGGACTAAAAATGTCACTATTATAATAGTTGAAGGACTAAAAGTGTCAATTATATGAAAGTCAAAGGACTTGATATGGAAATTTACAAAGACGGGCACCAATAGTGGGAAGATTAAAAGTGGAAAAATTCAAATTCGAGTACCAAAAGTGTCAATGACATAATAGTCGGACTAAAAGTGGCAAAACTCTTTTTACTTATATTCTTTCTGCTTTGCTAATCATTCATGTCTCACCTCTACATCATCATCATCATCATCATCATTCATCATTCATCATTACTTGAAGGAGATGACTTGAATTGATTTTGTCGAAAGGTAGCTTTATGAAGGAGAAGTCAATTTTGTGGATCTCTATTCCATAATAGTGTTTTTCAAGTTTTCCCAACATTTAAGATTCAAAAACCAATTGAGGTATTTGTGATTTTTTTGGAGTTCTGTTCCTTGTTGGTTAAATGTGTTTCTTTTACTTAGCGTTTCTAAGGTCATACTTATCATGAATACAAATCATTCTATATAATAGCACTAGCATCCTGTTATTCATTCTCTTGCCCAAGGTTAGTGTTTTTCCCAGCCTTTTAATTGCAATAACAATATTCTAATCCTTTAAAGAATCAGCCTAATTTATTTGGCTTCATAACAATAGGGGGCTTTGTTCTCCTCCAACCAACACCTGATTAGATGCTGTGACAATTCCTTTTTTTTCCTAGAGTTGTGACTAATCTTAAAGGAGGTGAGCGGCGGCTGCAGTACCTGCATTGGTGCGTGTATTACCTTTTTATTAAAATACATCACCAGGGCAGACTTTTTTTATACACCTTCAGGGCAGACTTTTTATTTACACCTCCAGGGCAGATTTTTTTTTTTTAACACCTCCAGGGCATATACTTGGATATGGTGTTGATGTTATGATATTTTATGTGTCTCTACCATTATACTAATACTTTGAATGACTTGATCACTTTTTACAAAAAAAAGAAAAATGAAAAAATAAATTGGCCCCTGTTTGATCTTTTAAGCATTCATCACAAGCTTGAGAGGAAATATCATTTTAATACCAGAAAGTATTATGGTTTATCTTGGAGTAATAGTAGTTGTTTGTTGACATAAAGATTACTGATCCATATATGTCTACATTTTCCAGCATATTACCTTCTGTCTTTGGGCAAAAGATCCACTCCTCTGACAAGAAGCTTCAACACTCCGATAGTCCAATAGTTCAGCATATTACCTTCTGTCCTTGGAGACAAGTATACATTTTTTTTCAACATTTAACTATTTGTTTATATTTTGTTATTGATTTTCCATCATGCTTACTGACATAGGCATTAATATAATGATTATTAAAGTAGTTAGATGGTATTTTGTGCTTAGTTTATTTTAATTTAAATTGATTTAACATTGACAAACAACTATTTCTTTTGGCTAAACATTTTGCATTCCATTGGTCGAATTTATATAACTAAGATAATGATTATAAGACCGTGTTAATGATTTCACTTCCAGTTGATTTTTTTTTTGAAGTTTAAGGTTTACTCCTGTGATCCTGTCCCCTTAGTTTAACGTTGCCAAACCATATTTGTGAAATTATAACTATTCTCTAATCTCTAGGATGATATCAATTATTGATAGGCTGATAGCATTTAACGGTGTTCAAGGGTAGGGGTGGACTGGGGCAGGGCTGAGCCCGATCCTGGTGGGCTTATTTTATGCAACATTTTGGCCTGGTACCCGCTTGGGTAAACTACGGGACCGGCCCGAGCCGAAACAGTATCGGGTCGGGCTCGAGTTAGTACCACCCATTTAATTAAGAAAAAATTAAAAAATAGTGCATTTGTGTCGGGCCCAAAAAATCAAGCTCGAAACCCACCCCTTAAAACCAATAGGCTGGGTCAGTACCGGGATGTCCGGGTTTAGGATTAGGATTCCGAAATTAAGAACAAATTTGTCCATCGGCTTTTTAGGAAGAAATTGCCTAAACTCAAATACGAGTAAAACGCACACATATTTAAAAAATCGGAGTTCATGATTATTTGGCATGTTTTAACATGTTTTAATTCGGATTGTTTTTAGTTCTACATCAAATGATCCGACCTTCAAACTATTTTAAACCAGATCAGATCACACTAGATTTAGATACTTATAAAATACACAGAAATTAAACATTTATCAAATCAGATCAAATCGGGCTAGCAAATTTCAGTCCACATAAAGATACCCTTATTTATTTAGCACAAATCCTCCCCTATTAGGATTACGAATTTAAGAAGAAACTAGTATTCTACCCGTGCGATGCACGGATTATAAATTTCTTTACCTTTAGCTATTTTGTTTTACAAATAAAGTGAAAATATAAAATATATTTACTCTTAAAGAAAATTGGAATACGTGTATAATATGTTAACCATAAATAACATAAGGTGTTATATTAAATACAATTATAAGATTAAAAATGTTACATAGTACATCACATGCAAAAGGAATATAATTATGCGCGCCCTTTCAAAGAAAAAGGAAATGTTACATAGTACATCACATGGTTAGAAAAATGTTACATAGTACATCACATAGTACATCACATGTGAGTTTCTACTTAATATGAGAAACTTGAAATGATTCATGCCATATTTAGGTGTTATCATCAAAGTTAAAAAATAAATCGATATGATGCAACATACAAAAGCATACTAAGTAAAATGAGGTTATAAAAATCAACTTTAAATAAAAATATTCAAAACATATTTCGTACTTTATAAGTAGTAACATTGTTTTACATTCATATATCATACTACATTCATCAAAACAAAAGAAACATTCATCTGATGTAAGATATATGTAAGTTTCACACATATTAAAAGATTAAGTGGTTGTTTTACAATTCTAACATCCAACATCCAAACAATAAGTAAAAATAACATTAGTCCACAGAAAATAGAAAATAAACTGATAAATAAAAGATATAGAACCCGTTTGGTAATATTGTTATTTGACTTATAAAAATTAAAGCTACTTAAGTCAGAACTTCATAAGTTTCAACAAGATCAGCCGATTCAACCGATTTCAGTGTTACCAAAAGGGCTCATGTTGAGAAAGTAAAAAGTTGCTAAATTCAATTATTTTCATATTATTAAGGCAATTAAAAAATGAAAGTGTACTCCATAAGATTGGTACACATATATGTTCAAAGGTGATGCACTTTTGTTAACTTACTTTCAATTGATGGCGTCTTCGTTGGTTTGTGCAAGATATATCTATCACTCTGGTTTCAATTCTTTCTCAAAACCTCATATCAAAGGGCTATGTCTAGGACTCATTAAATGCATCGTTGTGTTTAATATATTCGGTTGGCTGCATTAAAAAGGAGTAAAATTGAAATGTAAACGCAACTTTGGGTGTGGAATGATATATCAAAATTTACCTTGACATCTAAAGAGAAAATTTACGGCAAGTATTTCAATATATGAACCAAGTGTTTAGCCTTTTTCATTCCATAGGCTTAAATATAATGTTTAATGCTTGAATGGTTGGAAGTTGTAACCGCCTACTGGAATAGTGGAGTTGGTCTTTTTTATTAGCCCCTGCTTTACATGTTTCTTTTGAACTTTATTTATTTACACACAATCAGCAACTCTTCAAAATTTACCCTGACATCTAAAGAGAAAATTTACGGCAAGTATTTCAATATATGAACCAAGTGTTTAGCCTTTTTCATTCCATAGGCTTAATATAATGTTTAATGCTTGAATGGCTGGAAGTTGTAACCGCCTACTGGAATAGTGGAGTTTGTCTTTTTTATTAGCCCCTGCTTTACATGTTTCTTTTGAACTTTATTTATTTACACACAATCGGCAACTCTTTAACCGGTCATGACTCTTGAGGTGAGAACGGTTATTGCCCGGTTTCCCTTTTTTATATTAGCATATATTGCCCATTAGCTTTTTTAGGAAGAAATTGCCTAAAATAAAACAAAACAATTTTTTTTGTTGTACACACTTTTTTATACACATCATTTTACACTATGAATAATCTCTTCACAAACAAATCATGATTTATATGTAAACATGTCATGATTTATCTTTGAACATGTTAAAAATATATACTCTGTATTTATTTATAATAATTGAACTATGATCGATCCATTTTTACTTTTTAGTAGTCCCAATACATATTTTAAATCGAGAACATTGCAATATATTAGTCACATTTTTGGAAATTAAGATAAAAAGTCTCTTTTTTGTCCATTCCATATTTTTTAGTAATATTCATGTCAAAACCCCTAGTTTCTATTTTTTTTTAAACCACCCCTAGTTTCTATTATATCACTTAAAATCATACTACGTAATACTACCTCCGTTCCTAAAAATTCTTCCCGGTTTGAATTGGCACGCTTATTAAGAAAGTAGAATAAAGTGGAAATGTGTGATTGTGTAAGAAAAAGGTAAAATGAATATGAGCCACACAAATTGTCCAAAAAGGGAAAGTGGGAAGAATTTTTGGGAACGGCCCAAAAAGGAAAGTGAGAAGTATTTTTGGGAACGGAGGGAGTATTAATATGTTTTCATTAATAAGGGCAAAACCTCCAAAACCTATACCCCTAAATCTTAAAATTTAAATGATAAACTAGTCATATAATTTACATAGTATAGTGTATAGAATATACTGTAATAATATAAAAAGACCTAAATCCTTGAATTTTAAATATCCGCATCCTTGAAAAAGGTGAGCTTGAAGCTGAATAAGGTTATAAATTGTATAAGGAGTTTGAGGATCAAATGTTTCTAAACATGCGGAGAAGGAGACTCTGCAATTTGATGGGTCTTCCATTGCTGATACGAAAAAGGATGTGGATGACCCACCTGGGAAGGGGCCAATTCTTAGATGGCAAACTTGCTAGGGCAGTTTTTGCTCCAGGTGGTGATGCATGGCACCCAAAGAACAGAAAGGTGAAATTGGCTGTCACAGTCAAGGAGCTTGGTCCCAAGCATCAGTTTCGCCGCTTGAGAGAATTGGTTGGAAAACGTCACCATCCTGGAAGAGATCAACTTACTATCACCAGTGAAAGGTTGTGGTGTATATGTCAACTTTGTTAATTATTAAGAACTATTATGTGATTGTCTTGCTGTTGGTAGTGGCATCTCATTGTTAACCCGGGTTTTGGCTCTCTAGAGATGCACTTGGCTGTTTAAGTTTTAAAGAAATTGCCCTAAATAGAAATAGAAACGTTTTGAAATTCCAAAAGAGGAGTACAATGTTTTTAAGAGATCACCTTCGGCTAGGTAAGGGGAAGAGGTGCCTTCGATCCAGTTGGATAGAAATGCCCTCCCTTGATGAATATATATGGCTCACTCACCAATTCACAATGAGCAAGCCAATGATTAGCATGTCTCTCCCTCATATCTCACGCTCTCTTGTGTATTTATGTGTGCTTCTCTTTTCCAATATTGCATCAATATTTAACAAAGCTATCAAGTATGCATGGACCCGGCCCGGTCGGGCTTTAGAGGTTTAGGGGTAGGCCCGGAACCGGCCCGGGTACCCACCGGTACCGGGCCGGGTCGGGTCCGGTTCAATTTTTTGGTTTTCTTGATTATTTCATCCCCTACCCCCATTCCCCAAACCCATCAGAAACACCCAGCCCAACCCATTTAAACCCTGCCCAATCAAAGAAAGGAAAAAAATTAAAACAGGCCCGAACCGGGACCGGCCCGGCTCGTCCGGTTCACATTTAAGCCTACCCGAGCCCGCCCCGGCGCCCCCGCTTTCCCCTCCGGTTCGGGTCAACACCCGGTACCGGCTCCATGACTACTATCAAGTATGGTAAAAAAGTTGCTACTAATATGATATAAAATGGCCTCTGGGCAGGGATCAGTGGTTGTCTAGCCGATCCAAGTCATGTTTTGGGTGCATTTAGGTTTTTCGTTGAAGGGATGTATAGGAAGATGAAAATCACACTTTGTGATTTGCAAGAGTAAATCATAAACTTAGTTTACAAAAATATTTTAATGGTTCAGATTTTAAATGACATCTTTTTATCCAACTCACCACGCAACAAAGGAGTGGTAACATCCATTTCTTTCATTTCTCAATCATTGTGACCAACCGAAATAAAGATAGAGTATTAACTATTAAGACATTAGGATTAGTAAAGGAGCAGATAATAGCTTACTTGCACCGAATTTTCACCTCCAAAGACTAGTCAAGCCATGCAGGAACCAAGACAGAGTAATAATTTACTACATTAGTACACGACAACACATTGCTCCTAAGTCCTAATTAACTTCCATTTAGACAATTGTTAAAGTCAAAATAATGTGTTAGAAGGGGATTCAGAACTCCAAGTTCCGAGACTAATTTAATTGTACAGGACGACCTATTGGGAAAACTGAAAAGGGAGTGGCCTCTATTATCCAAAATAGCTTCGGCATTTACCAACCCTGTCGATTCGAACCTGGGCAATCTGAACAACTTTTTTCAGTAATCTTTTTATTAAAACAAATAAAATATCAAGGTGAGCTGGCGACATATGGGTTCATTTCCAACGGTTTGGAACAGCTAGTGGCAGCAACCATTCAGTCAATCATTTGCTTATCATTGTACTTCCCTTATTTTATTAGTCTAGATTCATTGGCTCTTCTCCTCCACTTATCTATTGTAATGCCTTTATAAGGCACGGCTTTGCTCATCAATAATATATACTTTTCAGCAAACCTTTACTTTATTCTCTTGTATATCTCAATGTCTAAGATGGAATTCAATCCATCTTGACCTAAATCTCTAAAATCTAACATGGTATCAGAGAGAGGTTACAAAACTTCAAAGATTCTGTTTTTTTTTTATTTCACTCTTCTTTCTTCATTATTCCGCTGCGAAGAACACTTTTTTTTCCGGTGCAAGATCGGAGCTTTTCATCTGGTTTATGCTCGGTCAGTTCATATCTTTTTTTCTTCTAAAGATTGAAACTTTATCATGGAAGACATGATTCAAGGAGGTTCGAGTATCAAGCCAACTGTTATTTCGGTAATCCTCAAGGGATCTAACTACACTCTTTGGTCAAGGACCATCAAAATTTCTATTTGTGGAAAAGGGCTTTGGGATCACATTTTAGAAGAAAGAAGTGTAGATGATTCAGGTAAATACAAGAGGGATGAAGAGGCTAAGGAGGATGCAAAATGGTTTCAAGAAGATCAACTTGTTCTCGGATTTCTTCAAAACAGTTTGGAACCATCTATACTCGAAGCTTACTCTTATTGTGAAACGGCTAAGGCCCTTTGGGACACTCTTAAAAGAGTCTATGGTGATGTATCCAATCTTAGTCGCATCTATGAGATTAAGAAAGCTATCAGTGAGCTAAATCAAGATGAATTAGACTTTAAGAAGTATCTTGGGAAGTTCCAGTCCTTATGGAGTGAACTTGATACGTTAAGGCCAAGTTCTATAGACCCTAAGGTACTAAATGAAAGAAGAGAGCAAGACAAGACATTCGGATTACTTCTCAATTTGAACTCAAGCTACAATGGTGTCATCAAGGCTATTCTAAGAGAATCTAAGCTTCCAAGCTTTGAAGAAGTATGCTCAAGAGTTCAAAAGGAAGAGGGATCAATCGGATTGTTTGATGGGAAGAAGGAGTTAGTGACGGCAAATAAGGGTGTATTCAAGCAAGAGGATCGACGGCTCATGGTATGTGAACACTGTCACAAGAAAGGCCATTTCAAGGATAAATGTTGGATACTTCATCCTCACTTGAAACCGGCAAAATTCAAAGAGATGAAAGCTGCCAACTTTGCTCAAGAAGGAGAGCAGGCCGAGAGTTCACACAAAGATCCTGAATTAGCCTTACATGCTTCAATGGAGTATGTAAAGAAGAGTGAATTGGAAGCTCTCATCAAGGCTTATGCCTCCAAACTTGGTATCTCTTACTTAACATCAAATTTAAATGCTAACTGTGATAATAAACTAGTTGTAGATTCAGGAGCTTCTCATCACATGATTAGAAATGCTAAGTTGTTAGAGAACTTAGATCATAAGAATATAGGAAAGGTTAAGATAGCCAATGGAAATGGGATTCCTATAGAAGGAACTGGGAAATTGAAGCTATTTGATAAAAAGAGTGATGCTTTCTACATTCCTAAGTTCAAATCTAACTTAGTTTCTGTGAAAAGAGCAACTAATGATCTCAATTGCAACGTTATCTTTAGTCCTAATGATGTTAAGTTTCAGGCTATTGAGAATGGCGGAATCTTGGGCAAAGGAGGGACCGAGGATGAGCTCTATGTTCTCAACCATGCATCTCCAAGTCATTTGGATTCCTTAGCATTTAAATCTTGTCTTTCTTCTTCTAATAAAAGTGTACTGTGGCATGCTAGATTAGGCCACCCTCACTCTCGTGCTTTGAATTTAATGTTACCTAATGCTTTCCTTGATCATTCTGCTTGTGAAGCATGTATTCTTGGAAAACACTGTAGAGTTGTATTCCCAAAGTCATCTACTATCTACGAGAATTGTTTTGACTTAGTACATTCCGATGTTTGGACTTCACCATGCATATCTAGAGATAGGCACAAGTATTTTGTAACATTCATAGATGAAAAGTCTAAGTATGCATGGGTTACTTTGCTTCCATCCAAAGATAGAGTCTATGAAGCATTTGTGAATTTCCATAACTATGTTATTAATCAATTCAATGCTAAGATTAAAGTGTTTAGGTCCGATAATGGTGGAGAATACACAAGTCAAAGATTCAAGGATCATCTCAACAAGCATGGAATATTGCACCAAACTAGTTGTCCACACACATCTCAACAAAATGGAGTGGCGGAGAGAAAGAACCGACATCTTATGGAAGTAGCAAGAACTATGATGTTTCAATCTAATGTTCCAAAGAGGTTCTGGGGAGATGCGGTCTTAGCTTCATGCTATCTTATTAACCGTATTCCAACAAGAATCTTACAAGATTCATCTCCATTTGAGGTACTAAATCGAACTAAACCCTCTATTGATCACCTAAGAGTGTTTGGATGTGTGTGCTTTGTGTATATTCCAGGTGAACAACGAAACAAATTGGAGGCTAAGAGCATTAGATGTATCTTTCTTGGATACTCGACTACTCAAAAGGGGTATAAATGCTATAATCCATCTACAAGCAAGACTTTTGTGTCTCGAGATGTGAAATTCATAGAAGATCAAGGGTATTATGACAAGAAAGAGAGAGAGAGCCTGGAGGAACTATCAAGGCCATCAGATCTAGCATCCAGTCTTCGGTTTTTGCTGGATCATTTGGGAAATAATAAGAGTAAGGATTCAAGTCAGGATGATACTCCATCAAATCAAGATGGTAATGGAGATACTCAAGAAGAAGAAGAAGAACCCTCGGCTACCCAGGAATCATCTCAAACTCAAGAGGAAGTGCCACTTCAAAATACAAGTCAAGAAGACTCAGTAGATCAAGAAGGACATACTCAACAAGAGGAAAGGGAAATGGTTAAAGATACAGAAACTGAACCAGTTCAATCCTTGAGAAGAAGTACTAGACTCAAGTTCAGGAATCCTAGATACTACAATAGTCAAGCAGTTGTTCATCCTATACAAAGTGTGTGTTCCATTGACCTTCTGCCAAAAGCTCATCAAGCCTTTCTTGTGAAGATTGAAGAAAATCAAATTCCTAATAGCTATGAAGAAGCCAAAGACAAGAAAGTGTGGGTAGATGCAGTTGGTGATGAAAGAGGAGCAATGGAAAGGAATCATACTTGGGATGTTGAGGATCTGCCCAAAGGCAGGAAAGCAGTTACATCTAGATGGGTGTTCACCATTAAGTACAAGAGTAATGGGGACATTGAAAGATACAAGGCTCGCTTAGTTGCTCGGGGATTCTCTCAGACATATGGCAAAGACTACAAGGATACATTTGCTCCCGTAGCTAAACTCAACACTGTCAGAGTTGTGCTTTCTTTGGCCAGTAATCTATCATGGAACTTGTGGCAAATGGATGTGAAGAATGCATTTCTTCAAGGAGAACTCGAGGAAGAAGTATATATGGTTCCACCTCCCGGACTTGAAGACTTATGTAAACCTGGACAAGCATTAAGGCTAAGGAAGGCTATATATGGTTTGAAACAATCACCAAGAGCTTGGTATCATAAGTTGAGTTCTACTTTGATGGATAATGGATTTAAGAGGTCTCACTCCGATAATACTCTCTTCACGCTCAAATCATCCCACGGCCTAGTTGTTATCTTGGTTTATGTTGACGACTTGATCATTAGCGGGGATGATGATGAAGGTATAAAATCAGCAAAGGAACTCTTAAAGAAGGCTTTTGACATCAAGGATCTTGGTGAATTGAAGTACTTTCTTGGTCTTGAAGTATATAGATCCTCTGATGGCTTATTCCTTTCTCAGAGGAAGTATGCTCTTGACCTCTTGGTTGAAACAGGTAAACTCGGTTGTAAGGCTGCTAAGACACCTCTTGAGGATGGCTACAAGGTCAATGGAAAGGGGGAGAAAAGTGAGGAGAAGCTTGCGGATGTAGAACTGTACAGAAGACTCGTCGGTAAACTTATCTACCTTACACTCACTCGGCCAGATCTTTGCTTTGCGGTTAATCAAGTCAGCCAACACATGAAGGAACCCTCAGTTTATCACTGGTCTATGGTAGAGAGGATCTTGAGATACATAAAAGGATCTCCTGGCAGAGGAATTTGGATGGGAAGGAATGGGAACACAGAGATTGTTGGGTATTGTGATGCAGATTGGGCAGGGGACAGGATTGACAGGAAATCTACTACGGGTTTCTGCACATTTATTGGTGGAAACTTGGTTACTTGGAAGACAAAGAAGCAGAAAGTGGTCTCTTGTTCAAGTGCAGAGGCAGAGTATAGAGCAATGAGGAAGCTAACTAATGAGTTGACTTGGGTCAAAATGCTTCTCAAAGACTTCGGAATAGAACAAGATCATCCTATCACCTTTCACTGCGACAATCAAGCTGCTATACACATCGCCACCAACTCCGTGTTTCACGAAAGGACTAAGCACATCGAGATAGACTGCCACAAGGTTCGAGAGAAGATAGAAGAAGGAGTCATTCTCCCGTGCTACACAAGGAGCGAGGACCAGCTCGCGGACATCTTCACCAAGGCTGCAAGTATCAAGGTTTGCGATCACATTTGTGCAAAACTTGGACTTGTGGACTTGACATTACCTCATTGATCAAATATCCCCTAATCCAGTAGTGTCATACTCTTTTTCCCTTAATATGCTTTTGTCCCACGTGGTTTTCCACATTAAGGTTTTTAACGAGGTGATACTATTGGATTCTCTTCCAAGCTCAGATTTCTCGGGTGATTCCGAATTCTAAGCTTGAGGGGGAGTATTAAAACAAATAAAATATCAAGGTGAGCTGGCGACATATGGGTTCATTTCCAACGGTTTGGAACAGCTAGTGGCAGCAACCATTCAGTCAATCATTTGCTTATCATTGTACTTCCCTTATTTTATTAGTCTAGATTCATTGGCTCTTCTCCTCCACTTATCTATTGTAATGCCTTTATAAGGCACGGCTTTGCTCATCAATAATATATACTTTTCAGCAAACCTTTACTTTATTCTCTTGTATATCTCAATGTCTAAGATGGAATTCAATCCATCTTGACCTAAATCTCTAAAATCTAACACTTTTGTTTCTTTATAATCTACAACAATAAAAACAAAAATGAGTAATAATATAAACCGGGCGCAATGCGAGCGTATCCAGATAGGAGATCAAATATGGAGCATGTGGCTGCCTCTACATACCGACAATTTAATTTCTTGGTGACATATCCATATTATTCCGTGGCACATGCTTCAATCCCTAAGATATATAATCTCATTAAAAAGCCTAACAAGGTCGGCTTATGACCAGTGAAACCAGTTCTTCGATCACGGCACCAATTTAGTTGGAGCCTCAAATATGAAAGCCTGTTATTATCCACCGGAGCCACCACAGAGAATATGCCATTAGGCTCAAGAAAATACACTGAAGAATTGATTGCATTTACACGCCATTAGTTACATAGGAAATTAAATCCTTTATTCTAATTTGCTAGTCATAAAATTTGATTCAAGCAAACTCTTGCTTCAATTTTCGCTATAGAAGCATTGATTTCACACGAACACAACAGCTCCCTTGAAGAGATGAAGTTGGGTCACGAAAGAATGAATGCTGAAGGCAAACCCATTGAGAGCACCAATAATAAAAATTTGAATTTTTATGATAAGTTTTTATTTTATTTTGCGCGAATGAATTATTGAATTTTTTTATGACAATTTGATTTAAATTTAAAAGTTAACAATGTATTTGAACCGATTGATTAACTATATGGCTGAACAAACATTAACTAATTATTGATTTGCTGAAATAAGAAATTCCTTCAAGTTTAAGTTTGATCACTATAAAGAGAAATAAGAACTTGGCTGATTACTTGATTTATTATTTATTCATTTATTTTTTTAACACACAACTAAATATTCCTGGAAATGACACATAACTAGTTACACAATTATTAATTTTTTAAATGCATATATGAGAAACAGGTTCAACTTTAAATTTATTTACTAGTCTGCAACTTAGTGACTGAACTCTACTTGCCTCATTTGCTTCTCTATACTCTATAATGATAACAGATTCGTTCATAATCTGCAATTGTGTATTAAATTTTTTAAATGAATAATCTGCAATTTGTTTTTATTTGTAGTTTGAACATTGAAGGTCTTAAACTTTTGTAGTTTATTTTAAAATTTGAACTAAGTTTCTCACAATTCTGAGCTAGTTTTGTCCGTATAACTAACTAGCTTGAATGATAAAAATTATTAGATCGGTTTTATAATGCGGGACCAAGAGTTTACATTTAAAGCATGGCCTCCAAAATACATTAAAACGGTCATGACTAATTTTGATTTTAAATATGGGCTTCTAGCTTACAAGACTAAAATTTAAAAGCGATGTCCGTAAATACACAAAAGACATTTATAAACATCCAATATACTCTGTTGTACAATTATTTTCCTTCCCACTTCAACTTGATATGCTAAGAAACTATACCGGGTACAGTTGTAGGGTGATCACCACCAACCACACGAAACATTCCTAAAAAGGAAATAAGGAGAAAGTTTGGAACATCTCAAAAAGGAAACTGGGTTGAAAATTTTGGGACGGAAGTGGCACATGTACACAAGTCATAAGTCAGAAATATACCTTAGCTTATCATCACCATTATGTTCTATCTTGTATGGAATTCTAGCACTGATGGAGTAGATGGTGCTGATGGAATCGTCGATTTAGGGCTGTGCCACTGCTCTTACCTTCTACAAATGAGACAACACCATCAGCGAAGGGTATGTCAACGATTTTGAAATGGCATCGATGGCTAGATTAATTAACAGTAACACTAGAGTTTGAAGAAAATTGGATTTAGCGAGGAAGTTGGCTAGGGTTTTAAATTGGCGGTGAGTGCAGCAGCTAGGGTTACACTCATCATCATAATCATCATTACTCCAGTGTCACAAAGGCTCCCACCTATGGTGGGGTAAGAGGGGGTCGGATGCACTAGTTGGGCTATTTTGCTGGGTGATGTCTTTGGGCAGTAGCAGGGGCAGAGGATCCCACTGGTTGCAGCGGAGAGCTATGGGGTCACTAGTGGGGGAGGGGGCTATGGGGTCACTGGTAGCTGTGGGGGTAATGGAGTCACTCGAGCAACAGAGGGCAATAGGGTCATTGGAGCAGTGGGGTCACTTGGTCGCAAGGGCAGTGTGGTCACTCTGGCGTCTGGGCGGTGGGTTCACTGGGGTGTCGGGGGTTGCAGGTCACTGTCACTAGTGTCAAACTTGTCACTGTCACAATCAGCCACAATATTACTAGGCTGGCGATGGTGTCACTTGCCGGGAAGTGTCATTGGTTGGGGTGGTGTCAATGGTGGTTGGGAGGCGTACTTTGATGATAAATGTAAGTTTATGACTTATTTTGTCACTCTTGGAAACAATAAAATTGTCTCTCTTTTAACCATGAGCAATATTTTACTGCGTACTAATATTGAAGGAAAATCCCATTTACATCTCATGATGTTGCAATGCAAACTTTGCAACATAAATATGGAGTGTTGTGCAAAAGCATAAATACCACAGATATGAAGTCTGCAAACTTCATATAAAAAGTCATCTTCAGTGTATGATATAGAAAGTTTAAAAAAGGCCCATTTGGATTATGTTAAATGACAGACGCCTTTTTATGAACCATTGCCGACAAACAACCTACTCTGTTTTCCTACAAGTCTTGGAGAAATCCATGTAAAATACGGAGTATAACACAAATCTGTAAACCAAATATATCACACAAATTAAGCAGTGGGAAATGTGTTTGTGGTCTACAAGACTAAAAGTCTAAAATAACATCCACACATGTCAGGTCTCATAATAATAAAAATATGTATCTGCTTTAGACTTGGGGAATTATATCCGGAAGTCTAAGCTATCATCTAATTGCAGGAATTCCGAAGTCATAAGAGAAGAATTCGGACAAATAGAGACGGAACAACCATGGTATTAAGTACATTCCACCAAATGGAGGACAATTAAGTACAGCAGGGTAACACAGAAAAAAGTGGTAATTTTGAAAAACATAAAATACCAAACATGGAGGAAATACGTAAATATAAAAATATAAAGATACATGTATAAATATTTTTTCGAATATATGTGTACACAACTGTTTGATAAATATGTATTTATATTTTCATATAAATTTGCTAATTTTTGACAAACATAGAGTGGAGCATTCAGATATGATTATATAATATTAGTATGTAGTAAAACATAAAATTCAATAAATCACTAGACACACTGTACTTCACTATGAAATATCACAAAAACAGTGTTGATATGATGAAATCCAATAAAACCCCACTAAAAAAATCCCCACACACACTCCTAAGTTGTTACTACTTGATGTCAAGTGTCAATTCAATGAAATGGCCGAGTAGCACTTAAGATCAGTTACTTGGAATTACTGGGTGATACTCAGCTCTGCAATATAAAATCATAAATACAGCCACAAAAGTAAGTATTGAAATGAACTAAACTCGTAATTTTTGCTTTCGCGCGCTGAATTGTGTAATAAGCAGAAAAAGTAAGGTTGAAGTTACTTCTCTCGCTATATTGGCTGAAGTTACTGTAGATGATTATTTAAGCTATTTTTACATATAATTTTTTATTTATTTGATTAATAAAATAAATTTTAAAAATATTTTTTTCTTAAATCAGCAGAATAAGCCAATGCAACCACTTCAGCCAGGTTTCTTACATTACAGCATAATCAGCCAAATCAGCCGATTTTCGTGCTACCAAACGGGCTCTAAGTTGGTAACCTACTCGACAAGGTGTTGCCTCGAGCAGTGACTACTCGCCGAGTTGTCAGTGATTACTGGCGAATTATATAACATAGTCAAATACAGCCTCCTTCATTATTAATAATAGGGGCACATCAGCCCGGCCTTGGAAAGCAGTACACTGCTAATTTTAGTAAAATGGCACACTATTTTAGCATTCGGATCATCTTAGGTTTAATCGCTGTTAGCTGGGTCATTAAAAATGATTTCAGTGACATAACAAATGTATTTATCCTACACTGAGTTACAAAATGAATAAATATACCTTACTATCACCTCCAGTTGGGTTATTATTAGGACAAGGAGACAGATTTGGCTTCTTTGCAGTTGGCATTTGAGCAGCAAACTCGGAGATGAGACATCTTTTGGCGTACGCGAGAAAGATGTTTTCATCCTGAAAACATGTTTTAAAATTTTAAATGGAACAATCGGAGCACTACTAACAATCGAGGATAAAATAAATGAGTGTGCTGGTGATTACATAACAAAGACGAATCAAATTGCAACAATCAAAATGTAGCAAAGTAGGGGAACTAAATTTCAATGTAAGCACTATTTCAATGTTTTAGAATTATTACCAAAGTAACTAAGTCTTATCCTTTACAATTGAAACCTAAATTCATATGGACAGGGGCGGATCTGGTGGGGGGGGGGGGGCAAGGGGGGCAGGTGCCCTTGCTTCGGTCGGACGAGCTAGGGTATATATAGGGGTTTGGGAGCCGCTGGACGGGTCTTTTCCACTATTTCCGGCGAGCTTGGATGGCCGGTTTTGCTTCTGGAGCATAGCGCTGGACA